TTTAATTAATCGCACATATAGTGTGTTTTTTAAAATAATTCACTGCTCTACTGTTTTGATACACATTTTATATGTTGTTTCTGTGAATGGTATATGCTGCATTTTGCTATGCCATATGAAATAAAATACTTTTTTCTCTTTCTTACTGAAACCATTTATCAGAAACACTATATAGTATAGATAAATTCTAGGTAAAACATTTTACGTCAATTTAAATGTCCCTGTTGTGATTGATTGGGTAATGGGTTTTGTGAATCATAACTGGAGAACAATAACTTTTGCCCATTTTTGGGTAATTTACTCAGGTTTAGCAAGCACTGTGTAAAGTGCTGACCTCATTCTACCTTCTACTACAGCCTCAAACTCTACATGAGTTTTAAGATCAATTTCCTAGCATAAGCCCTGTATATTAAGATCACATGAATTATTGGTATCACTTCATACAGGACTGGTAAGACCGCACTTGGAATACTGCGTCCAGTTTTTGGTCACCAAGATTCAAAAAAGATGTGGAGATTCTAGAAAAAGTGCAGAGAAGAGCAACAAAGATGATTAGGGGACTGGAGATTAAAACCAAAATGGGTTGAAGGAACTTGGAATGTCTCATCTTAATGAAGAGAAGGTCTAGGGTTGATATGATAGTAGTATTCCAATATTTGAGGGGCTTTCACAGAGAAGGGGTTGACCTATTCTCAAAGCACCTGAGAGCAGGACAAGAAGTAACAGATGGAAGATTATCAGAGAGGTCCAATTTATGATCAAAGAGAAATTTCCTAACAGTGAGAACAACTAATCAATTGAATGACTTGTCTCCAGAAGTTGTGGGTGCTCCAACACTGGAGGATTTTAGGAAGAGATTGAACAACCGTTTGTCTGAAATGTAGGGTTTCCTGCTTGAGCAGGGGCTTGGACTAGAAGACTGCCAGTGTTTATTTGTTTATTTATTGATTTATTTAGATTTGTCAATCGCTTACAAGATAATAGGTATAAGTATATACATAGTTATGAATACATGAATTGGGTACATATAAGAAAAATAAAAGAAACAATAGGATGGGATGGTAGGCACATTGGTGCTATAGACCTCTTAGAAAAGGGGTGAGGTCAATAGTAGACAGTCTAAGGTTTTGGGGGTAACTCTGTTAGTGTCACACTTCTGTTTGTCTACTTTTCTCGTACTTGGGTTCTACACATTCCCAAACACACAAGCCGGTGGTCAGGATTCCACAAAACATCTCATGCCTACGTGCCTGCAGAAGTTCTGCTTCTGGTGACCTAGGTGTGGTTATTGTAACAGGATGGAATAAATTATTGCACCACAACTGAGACACTATTGTTGCATAAGGTTTTGCGGATTGCTTGCTTTGAAACAAGCTTCTGTGAAAATGGTTGAGTAAAGTAACCTTTCTTCAGGAGATGAGACTGACCTTGGTGAGACACAAGAAGTCAAAAAGTGATGGCTGCAGCGTCTTCCTTATTGATCTGCATCAGTGGTGGGATTCAAACGTTTTTACTACTGGTTCTGTGGGCGTGGCTTGGTGGGCGTGGCAGGGGAAGGATACTGTAAAATCCCCATTCCCTCCCCACCCCACTAACCTGCTTTCCAGCTCCATTCTCCTGTGCAGGGCAACAAAAGAAGACCCAGCCGATCAGCTGGGACTCGGGAGGCAGAGAATAGATGGGGGTGGGGCCAGTCAGAGGTGGGATTTGCCAGTTCTCTGAACTACTTAAAATTTCCGCTACCGGTAATCCAGAACTGGTCAGAACCTGCTGAATACCTCCTCTGCTCTGCAAGTTGCCAAATCAAGCTGCTGTCACTATTCCTCACTTACAGGCAACACAAAGGTGTGTTCTGCTTTGATTTCTTGCAGCTGAAACAACCTGGACCGAGTGTTAATTCAGACTTAACATCTGATAATTTTGTTTTTATAAACAAGACAAATTGCATGAAGAAGCACTATCTTTCCTTAGAAAACCACATATTCTCACGTCAACGTGACAAAACATTCCTTCTGCTTCCTGACATGCAGAGATTGCGATATGGTTTATTTAGCTTAAATATTAATGGACAATTATTAATGTATATTAGTATATATTTAATACCAATTTTCTTTTAGATTTTAACTTGGTGTGCCTGTTTGGCCTGTGTATGTAACATCTAGAACACATTTCTTCAGCCTGTCAGCTAATACTGTAGTGACAATCTTATAATCTACATTCAACAAGGAAATTGGTCTATATGAGAACAATTGTACTATATGAGATTCTCATAGGACTAGACAGCAAGAATATCAGATCAAAGTTTTTTGTTGTTGTTGTTAGTTGCGAAGTTGTGTCCGACCCATCGCGACCCCATGGACGTTCCTCCAGGGCTTCCTGTCCTCTACCATCTTCTGGAGTCCATTTAAGCTCACGCCTACTGCTTCAGTGACTCCATCTAGCCACCTCATTCTTTGTCGTCCCCTTCTTCTATTCCCCTCGATCTTTCCCAGCCTTGAGTCCTTCCTTCTCATTAGGCAGCCAAAGTATGAGAGTTTCAGCTTTCTTTTTCTCACTCTTGCTTCTGAATAGCCTTCAGGTCTTTCCAAAATCTTCTATTGTGACTCCCACCAACACCTGGCTTTAAGAGTGAAACTGAGAAAAGGAAAAACATTTTAGCGCAGCCACTTCCCCTTCTTGGTATAATTTTGGAAAGTGGCGGCTAACAAAACTTTAAATCTTTTTACCTTTTTGTGCTTCATTATTTTTTATTAGACACACAAAGGGAAAAAAAAAAAGCAGCTCTGACCACAAACGACAAACATGCAAAGATGTGACTTGCCAAATGCATGTGAGGAAATTCTAGGCTTAATTAACATACAGCCTCTCAAGAGGCCAGGTGTGAAACCAGAAAAGATCTTATTTTGGCTCCATTAAAGAGGAAAAAGTCAGAATGAAATGCTTGAGGAAAGAAAATGCTCGCCAGCCTGGAGAATAAGAAAAGCAGCCATGTTGCTGTACACTTTTAGCTATGGGAAGTCCTTGACTTAGAGTCATTGTTTGGTGAGCAAAGTTACAACAGCTCTGAACAAAGTGATTTATGACCAGTTCCTTGCACTTACGCCCACTGAAGCATCCCTATAATCATATGATCAATATGGGGTGCTTGGTAACTGGCATATATTTACAATGATTGCAGCATCCCAAGATCCTGTGATTGCCATTTCCAACCTTCCCAGCCGACTCCTGGGGGAAGCCAGATTTGCTTAATGATTGCAGAATTCATTTAACAACTGCAGGGATTTGTTTTAACTGTGACAAAGGGGTTATAAAATTAGATACTACTCATTGAATTGCTTGGCAATGGAAATTATGCTCCCCAATTGTGGTTGTAAGTCGAGGATTACCTATATAACAAATGCTCCACAATTGCAAAGAATGAACTGAAAAAAGCAATGTGCTATATAGCAGGGGTCTCCAACCGTGGCAACTTTAAGACTTGTGGACTTCAACTCCCAGAATTCTGCAGCCAGCAAAGCTGCAGTTGAAGTCCCTGCTATACAGCATCAGCCATCAGGATTAGGAAGCGAGTGGTCTGTTGTGATCCCAGCCGTCTGAATATCACAGGGCTCCTTCCATGAAGAAGTTTCAAAAGTCTTTGAAAATCTGTTCTCCCCTGAGTTGTGGTAGGGTGGAGGGTAAGCCCTCAGGTGCATTTGTTGTTGTTATATTGTACACTTTTTCTGAACGTATATGGTTCTTTTTCTCCAATTAATGGGGATTTGTCCTTAGTTTTTAAAATGTAAAAGGGTGATCTCAAGTCAGAGATCCTCTAAATTTTAACGAAGTGATACAGTTATACCAAAGTTCATTAATCACAACATGCTGATCCCAATGAGTGTGTTTGGGTAAGAATAGGAGAGAAACAAAAACAGTATTTGTTGTGGGACGGTTTTAATAGATCGCCTGGAAGAGTGGAAGATACGGATGAGGTCTTTCTCGTTTTCAAAGAGGCGCGTGATACTGACAATGGGAGATTTCAATTACCCCTGGATTTGCAGGAAATCTGACTCAGGCAGGAGTCAAATAACTAACAGTTTTCTGCCCTTTCCTGCCATAACTTCAGAGCCTCGGTGGTGCAGTGGTTAAGAGTGCAGTATTGCAGGCTACTTTTGCTGATCACCGGCCGCCAGCAGTTTGGCAGTTCGGATCTCACCAGGTTCAAGGTTAACTCAACCTTCCATCTGAGGTTGGTAAAATGAGGACCCAGGTTGTTGGGGGCCATATGCTGACTCTGTAAACCACTTAGAGAGGGCTGTGAAGCACTGTGAAGAGGTATATAAGTAACTGCTACTGCTATTGTTATTGGTCAGAAGATGGAAGAAACATAACGCGAGCAACCATCTCCGACTCAGTCCTATTGAGACCCAATGTCTGTGGGTGTTGCCCAGATACGGGTGTATTCCATCTTTGACCTTGTATGTAATAATAGTACAATGATGTGTGCAATTTGGGTTAGGGTTAGGGTTTTCTTGTGCTTGATGAGCAGGTAGCAGCTGTGGCTTTTGTACAGCTTCCTGTAAGTCTAATGAATCAATTGTGCAACTTCCAAGATCAGAAGCCTTCAGTCAGTCATGCCTTGGTCACCTTGTGGCTAGATCACTGCAATATTGCAGAATTTTCAGGGTAGGAAAGTTTGCCATGTCTCTTGCCACCTGTGTTGGCTAAAGAAGAATCGGTGCTGGCTGAAGAGGGGCTTGAAAAGGTTATTGGATTGGATTGGGTGGCTGTTGAAATCATGAGACCTGATGAAACCTGTTCCTACTACTGTACAAAAGCCACAGGACTTCCTTCCTTGGGGTGAATCTGTGGGACGGAGGGCAGGACAGGTCACAACCACTGGCCTTATTATCCCTGTAAGAAGCCCAGCCTCAAGCTTCCCGACATATTATGATATGGATTCCCACCATCATACTCTTTGTACGTTCAAACGAAATCGCAGCTCAGGAAATCAGTTTTTATTTATTTATTAAAAACATATGAGTTGAGAGATATAGGAAAAAATTATTTCAAATATACAGATACTATTATCCAATTAGCCATTAAAGGAGAAAGAGATATTAAAATCAGACAAATTTCAACTCCCCCCACCTAGTTTAAATTAATCTGAACTATGGTGGACATCCTTCTTCAAGGGAAAAAAAAAAAAGGCAAAATGCATCTAGGGGCTTATTCACCTAGGAGGCAGATTTATTTATTTGCTAATCCCTGCTGATTTTTATGAGCAAAAGCAAAAAAGTAACCATCATGAGCTATGTGCTCGGCCTCTCTTCTCAATTAGGCCTGGGATTTAAAATGTTTTGTAACAAGTCCCAGGACCTTTGACCCAAGTAGAGATTTCTGTCTAGGAAGAAAGAAAGGGAGGAATGGGGTAGGTTAGGATAGGACATCCCAGAAGTGCTTTTCAAAAGGCAACTGGACTTTGTCTTTTCATTGAAAACGTTTCATTTCTCACCCAAGAAGCTTCTTCAGATGAGAAGCAAAACGTTTTCAAAGAAAACCCAGTTGCCTTTTGAAAAGCACCTCTGGGGCAGCCATGACCTGGATGATTGAGAGTCTCCATAGACTTCAGGACAGGACAGAAAGAAGGTACTTCTCTCATACAATTATATTACACAGGCCAGAGTCATCCCCACAAACTCTTCTCAAGCCTTGATGTTTTTGCTTTTGATTGGAGATTGAGGAGGAAAAAACAAAATGGCAGAGACTGAAGTTAAATAAACTGCTACTAGAAGCCCTATGAAAATAATGGCTATTTTTGCATACTGTACATATTTCATTCACTTTAACTTGGTTCCTGTTAGGTATCTTAAGCCCTCCAGACAGGGACTGCAACACCCATCAGCCCCAGCCAGCAAAGCCAATGGGCAGAGACGATGTCATCCAAAACATACAGAGGGCATTGGGGTGTGGAAGATTGCTCTAAAGTTTCAGGAGGACTAGCAAGTGGCCCAAGGACAAAAGGAGCACAACTTAAAGACGATAAGAGGGACTCCGCCAAGTTAAGTGATCTACATAGTTACAGGACCAATATAAATGGAAGTCAGATCATAGATTCTACATTCACAGCAACAGTGGGGAGTCCATCTCCTACCTAGAAAAGTATCTGAATACCACCCACCACTCTGCTTTGTGTATGACTGTCCTTTACCCTAATGCAAGTCAGGTCTACCACGTTGGATCTGGCTCCTGCTTTATTTGAGTGTGTTCTTCAGTCTGTACTGAATCTGTGGAGACAAAGAATATTTGGCTGCTTTTAGACAACACGAAGGACACTGAAGAACAAGAGATACAGAGATCTTATATCTGTCCAAAGATTAACAAAACAGATGGGCTGCTAAGTTTCCCTGATGCTCATACTGTTATCGTAATAAACTCCAAAAAAGTAGTTTAAAAAAAGAAAGAAAAGCAACGAATGGGATATGATTCACAAAACCCACTGAACCTAAGACACATTGCAATTTAAGAATAGGATACCACCCAACCCACGTATGATTATATGGTCACTGATTCATAATTAGAAAAGCTAGCAAGATTCTTTACAAAGGGTGTAAAACTGATTTAACTTTATTTTTAGCTTCATGGACATGACATACTTATCCAAATAGCAAGTGTTTTCTTCTCATTAGATCACAGATCCTTACCTTCCTCCACAGATACTTGTACTATTTGGTCTGCTTCAACTGGCTCTAGAAGAAAATACATGCAGATATTTGTATTAATTCTATACTGGTAGCCAACTTTTATCAACCTGCTTTGTCAATGACTGTAGCCTTTGAATGACTGTTTCCACTCTATACAGAAGTCTTTAAAGCCTTTTTTTTTTTTTTGGAGAAGAACATCTAAAACTACATCATTCTACTTCTACCACAATGCTGCAATGGAGGGTTGGGCCATCTCCTCCAAACATAAATAAAAATTAGAATGCATTGTATTAACATAACATAATAATACAATTATCAGCACATGAAACTTGAAACGTGATGAGCACAAGCTTCCTTGGAAATCCTACTGGTAATTACTGAGCCATGAACATAATTGTAACATTTACCTTGTATCACCTGTTCAGGAGCTGGCACAGTGACTGCTGGGACTTCTGCTTCTGCCTTTTCAGTAATTTCTAGAACAAACAGGACCAGAATCAAACTTTTAATCAAGCAATGCTCCTCAGAAGTACCTGAGGGTCATTCATAGAGATATAGTATTTTATTCAGTTTCAGTGTGCAAACTGTTAAAATGTTTTGGCCGTTCAGATAAGAAAAAACACCAGAACAATGTTGCTGTCTGTATAAAATCTGAGCTTATTAAAATCACTTCCCTTTTCTGCAATAACATTTTGGGGTATATTTGAACCACCTACAATTTAGAAGCCTGTTTGCAGAGGATTAGAGATTTTACTAAAATAAAATAATATGTAGGGTTGAACTGTGGATGCTGATGCAGCCAAACCAAAATGACAATCAACTACAGGTAAAGAATTGTTGAGAAATTTATCCTTCAGCATATTGCTGAATGGCTATGTGACGTACTGTATTGTATCTGGGCAATGATGGATTATTTTTAAAATGGGTAAGCCAGCAGGAAAAAAACCTCTAAACTCACTGTAGAAATGACAGGAATGCATAGTTGTTTCTACACTGCCCAGAGCAGTGTACAACAATGAGATGAGTTAATGCAATTAATAAAATGTTTATAAAGATTTATTTTGTTAATGAAATACTCACGGTTGTTCATTACAAGTCCAGGGAATGGTCTGTTGGAAAAACAATGCAACATTTCAATTCTCAGAAATAAATTTTTTAATCCAAATTTCCACTGATGACTTCCAAGAAACATTTTAAGTGTTTGATTTTAGAACCAATATAAACCCACTTAATCTTCAAAAACCGTGCAATTTTCTTCTTGTGTTACTTTAATGCAGGCTTCCTCAACCTGATACCCTCCAAATGTGTCTGACTGTAACTTCTTTCATTCCCAGCCACCAATCACAGTGTGGAATAGTGGTTAGTGTGTTGGATTAGGAATGTGGAGACCCAGGTTCATATCTCTACTCCGGCATAAAATACCCTGGGTGACTTTTAGCCTAACATACCTTACAGGGTTGTTGCAAGTATAAAATTGAAGGGGGATAATGTAGACAGCCTTGAGCTCCTGGAGGAAAGGCGGAATATAAATGCAACAAATAGTTGAATTAATGGAATCTAGAAACTTCAACTGTGCTCTACCAATACTGTAAGTCCTAAACCATTCAGCAAGTCCAATAAGAAATATTCAACATAAAAAATACACAGCCCTATCTTCACGCCCAGTTCAAACTAGTAATCACCGTCGTATTTCCTGTTTTATTGAATTGTTTAATTCTTTCAGTTTTGCATGTTCTTTTCAACACCTAATACCATACCTATATTTATCCCCCTCCCCCCTTTTTTTTACCATACTTGAATTCCAGAACTTGGCTAACTCCATCCTTGATTGCAAGCATTCCAAAAATTCTATTTCTGTCTCTACCCAGGGCAAACCTCAAGGACAACACTTATCTCTGATACTGAAAATATCTCCTCAAATCAGTTCTCCTTTGTCTTAAGTGGGGATGAGAGAAGAAGCTGTCAGCCAAACCCTTCTTCAAGATGGATTATACAAAGCCTGATAGCTATAAAGCATTCTAACCATTGTACCAAAGAAGAGTTGATCTTCCCATTCTGCACTACTTAAAGTGGTTAGAAATTATAGACCATCCTCAATTTATGACCACAATTGGGATTGGGATTTCTACTGCTAAACAAGGCAGTTTTTAATGTGCCCAACTTTATGATCTTTTTGCCACGGTTGCTAAGCTAAACACTGTACTTGTTAAATGAATCATATGGTCATCAAGAGAATCTGGTTCACACACACACACACACACACACACACCCCACACGCACTGACTTGCTTGTCAGAAGCCTTCTGGGAAGGTCAAAAATGGCTGTAGGTTGTAATCCTGGGACACTGCACTTGTCCTAAATACGTGCCAAGCCTCTGAATTTTGATCAGGTCTCTGTAGGGATGCTGCAACAGTCATAAGTGTAAGTCACTTTTATCAGTGCCGTTATAACCTCAAATGGTCACTCAATTAATGGTTGTAAGTCAAGGACCACCTGTACAGCCTAAGAATGTGAAGAGATGTCTACAGGTCAGAGGCAGAAACAGAATTGTTCGTCTCCAGGCCAAGCCTCAATTTAGAGAACTTCCGTCCTGATCTTTCAAAATTCCTTAGAACTGTTTGACCGTGATCCGTTCCCTAGGTCAATTGCCAATGCTGTCACCACATCTTCTTTTAAGAGTTCTGCAGAAGGCTGGGCTGCTGAGGACAACAGAGGCTAGAAGACGACAAGATGGGCTCTCTTAAGACCCTGCCTGCCACTGGGAAGACTGCTGGCTTTTCCCAGCCCTGAGCATGCTGTGGGCCCAGTCCAACATCCTGATCTACAACAGCTTCTTTCAACATACAATTAAAATACGTAGGTTACACTAAATACTGTACTGCTGAAAGTCACATACCTAATAACAGTAAATTTAATAAACTCCGCGGAATCCAGAATCTTCCTCATGGAACTGATTTCAAGATAGCTGGGAGCTTTAAAAGATACACCAGGGGGCATTCCATCCACCACCACACAGCCAGGGTTGACAGTGATTTTTCGGTATGGGACTTTCACAGGGTATCCCATACCAATGGCTTCCCCTACAGAAGAGGAAAGGGAGCTTATCAAAGATGGCGAGTGAATGGTTCTGGGTTCAGAGATACATATTCCTTGGGAAAAAGATGATGAAAATGCACGAGGAACAAACAACCTATTTGGAATATAACTGCATAGTAGTTATGAGAAAGAATAGTATTGTGAGAAAAAACTTCAAATGACTATTTTTTTTACATATAACAAGGAACCAAATATTTAATTACATGTTGATTTGTTCATTCAAGGTAGTAATAGTAATAGTGTGGCGTTAAGAAAACCTCAAATGACCTATTCATAATTTTAAAAAAATTAAATCCTGATAAGATCTATCATGCACACATCAATTTTATCATAATAATCAAATAGATGTAGTCAAATAGATGGTTGATGTTTTTGAACTTCACGACTAGGAAATGAAAGCAATAACTTCTGCCTATTATTTGCTTCTCAGCAATTATTATTTTTGTTTAGAGGAACAGTTGCTTTTAAAAATGTAGTTATCAAAGCTTACCATTATGAAAGATCAAAATCTCAAAATGCACACTTTGTGTCAAACAACGCTGTATCTTACACTGAAGGATTTTCTTCTCCTGTGCCAGATATGACTGTCAGATGGAAGTCCTGCTCTGTTTGGTATGGCCAATGGCTGCTAGGGAAACAGTTCCCTATCTTTAGCATATCCTCTCCAAAGTGCTTTTTACCTGGTGCTTTTTTCTTAATCCCAGGTCTATTCCTTTTTATTCCCTAAAGCCTTTAATCTTCATTTTCTATTTGTGTTGTGATAATATTTCTGCTGGAGATGTGTGGCTGTTTTCTCTGTTATTCTATGCAGCCTGGGATAGGATAGGATTTCTTTTAAAAACTTAGCTACATTCTTAAAATTATTTTGATACTAGTGCTTCAGCTTTACTTTTGATTTCAAAAGTGTTAAAAGTAACCAAGTTAATAATAGAAAAAATTGGGATGGGGAAATCATTGCAAAAGAGAGCAAGAACCCTGAGCTGCCACAGTAGCAGCAGGTGCTTCCTGGTGGGTAGCTCTGACTCTGGAGGTAGGATTCATTGTAGTGGGGAGTCATGAGCAAGTGGGGTTTAAATGGTTGGGCCTTGAACTAGAAGGCAGCTGGCTGTGAGCACCAGTTTTGTGAGGGGAAGGGAAGAAAGTGTGACCCTGTTCTAAGTAAATTCTCCTTTTAAACCATGTGTTTGCTCTTACTTATTCTAACATTAAGTTAAAAACTTAGTGCTAGAATTTCTCATGTAGCAGCTCATTTTACCACTGCATACAGTTCCTCATAGATGCATCAAGCAATCCTGAATGCCTCTCATTCTAGTCAATGTTTCATCTGTAGTTTCATTGTCATCCTCCATTTTATCAGTAAATGTCTATAGAGATTCTCAGTCATCCAGGTCATGGTTGTCCCAAAGGTGCTTTTCCAAGAGGCACTGGGACTTTCTGGGTTTTTTTTTGAAGATGTTTTGCTTCTCATCCAAGAAGCTGAAGAAGCTTCTTGGACGAGAAGTAAAGTATCTTCAAAGAAAAAACCAGAAAGTCCCAGTGCCTCTTGGAAAAGCACCTTTGGGACATTTCCTCAGTAGTTTCAAGCACAGACCCACCTGCCATTTTGTGCAGTGATTCTGATAAGAAATACACCTGATCCCACATAAATCCGCCTAACCCACTCTAAAACCAATTGCTACTATAACTAGGACATGGATCCACAGCTGCTTAAAACAAAACACAAGAATTAAATTCTTGTTTGTTTATAGATCTCCCCTTTGTTTGAACTTCAAAAATGGTGAAGATTGTTTTCTGTTTCAGCAAAACGATGGATTCAAAGGCTGAGAAGACAATTGTTTTGACTTTCTGAAGAGGAAACGCACAAATTACCAAATTTTCGACTGAAGAGATCATTCACTTGCTCTCTCAGCTGCCGGGCCTTCTCTACTTTGGAAGTTCTCTCATCATCATCTGCAAAATGTAAAGACGCAATTACTGTATTTATTTGTATGGTTGTTTTTTTAAATGACTTTTAAAGATTTAAGACAACCTAATGATCAGTTTAAGGGGAACTATTTGGGGTTGTTCTATCTCCTGGAAGTGGATGGTGCTTTAATCCTGGCCCAGCTGATTTGTTCTTTGGGGCTTGAAGAAATATAGAGAAGGAAGACCAGAAGCACAGAACATATCCTCTTCACTGCTCAACTATGCTACATTACTAAGGTAGTGACTGATTTCTTGCTCATGGCTGCTGGTTTGTAGGCCCTTAAAAAGATATCCCAAAAGAAACAAGGGAAAAATTAATTATGGAGATTATACGTGTCTTTAAGGAAGTATGATATTTAATTGAAAAGAAATGTTAAAGATGTTAAGATTTTAATGATTATTAATGATAGAACTGAATTGGAATGGAATCAGGGTTTATAATTACATATATTTATAATCCTTTTTTTAAAAAAAGAATATAGTGTGTATTATAAGAATGTACCAAGCAGAATTCGATTGGAAGTTATGTATTATATTGAAAGTCATAACCTTATATTGAAGTTTAAATAAGAGTTGAATGGATGTAATTAAAAGATATAAAGGTGTCATACTCCAATTAGTAACTACAGGAGAAAATTTGTTTAATGAGAAAAGATCATATGAAATTGAAACAGAACAGACAAAAGTATAAATATAATGATTTGAATTGAGATGAGATAATCAAAATAAAATTGAGAAAAATAAAAGAGGGGAAAAACTATATAGAAAATGTAGAATAGTATAAGATATGGAATAGAACACAAAAAGGAGCATGAAATTGAGTTTTGTGTCTGTATAAAGAAGTTCAACCCGGGACCATGCTATTTTCAAAAAAGATGTTTTACTTGTATTTTGTATGTGTGAAAACCCAAATAAAACTTTATTAAAAAAAAAGATATCCCAAAAGGAATTCATTTTTTGTTTGATTATTTCATATGACTGGATTCCAAATCAATTCCTGAAGATATTGCAACTGAGTAAATCTTTAGCTGCAGACAACAGCAAACTGTGGATAAGTAAAATGAGAAGAAAAGCTTTGGAATTTCTATTAGTTACATAGGAAGAGAGGAGGTGGAATTCTTGAGCCCAAGGCAATTCTTGTACAGGCATAACTGCTAAATTCTGGTTTAGAGAACAGTAACTTGTAATCCCCCCAAGAATCCCCAAGCTTTGCAAAGATCCAGTTGGAAAGCACTGAAAATTACTGGCAGATGCCTTGCAGTTTTGCAATGGAAATCAGAGCAAACAGGTAAGCTTAAGTCTTAAGTGTCCTTATAACAATGAAAACACAAAGATGCCCTCAAACGAAACATCTCAACTTTAATTTCCAACCAATCCCTGACATACATATACCAACACCCAAAACAAAAAATAAAAATAATTTGTCCCTCTCCTAAAGTTTGCCTGCAGACAGAGTGTTCCAATGAACATTGAACCGGGCATCTAAACAGGAGCGGTTATTTCTCTCCCAGTTTCCTACATCAATTGTTCACCTTTTGCACCCAGCAAGACGAAAAATAGAAGCACACCACTCCAGTTCCCCACACCAGCCTTTCACCTTTTGCATCCAGCTGCGCCAAAGCAGAAGTGGATCCCTGGCTGTGCTGTCACCTTTTTGGACCCAGATTCTGCCACAAATGTTTCCTATGAGAGGCAGCTCTCTAACCCAGCACAGCTTTAGACACGTGTAGGGAACATTTGCTGGGAGAACGTGGGCTCGAAAAGGAGTCAGCAAAGGTAATGTAAACCTTTGTAACCCGGCACAGCTTTAGTCACACATATAGGAAATGTTTGTAGATGAAGATGGGTCTGAAAAGGAAACAGTGGGTAGTGAACCACTTCTGCTTTGGCTGCAGCCAGCTCCAAAAGGTAAAAGATTAATGTGGGGGACAGGAAGAGAAGACAGCTGAGTGAGTGAATGAATGCTTGCTGGGGCAGGCTCAGGACTGAACAAAATGCTTACTGGTTGCTTGCCAGTGGGGGATTGGGACAATAAGGCAATTGGGTGAATGAATGCTTGCTGGCACTTGCTGGGGAATGGCAAGTGTGTTTCTGGGATTGCTTGCCCTCCCACAAGTCAGGATGCAGACAACCAAAAGGGCATAGACTCTGTGTGTGGGGGGGTGTCTTTTTTTTGGGGGGGGGGGGGATAAGCAGCTGGGGAGTTGGTGCATCAAATTTTAATCACATGACCATGGGGGCATTGCAATGGCTGTAATTTCGGCCATGTGTTGTAGGTCCATTTTTTTTTTAGTACCAATGTAAAAAAGGAGACCCAAGTTAAACTGTTGCTAGTAGCTGATTCTGTTGAGTGCCCATTGGGTAGAACCTTTATTCATCGTTAGCCTAAAGCACACGAGTCTATTTTATGTCCAAAGGAAAATAATGTTCTAAATACTATTAATTGCCCTTACCTCTTTTTTTAAAAGTGTTGGTGCTTTTGAGTTAGAACAAAAATGTAAAATGAATTTAAAAAGTGTTACTCAACAGCTTTAAATACCTCTGTTATAGAAAGTGGACAGAGTACCTGGTATTGTCACCTGAATGATGTTAAGGTCTTCTACTCCAGCAGCTGTGTTCACCACTGGATCAGGCACACTTACAGCATTTATCACAGTATTACATAAGCTGGTTCTTCCTTAGAAAAGATGCAGAGGTAAAATGTTAGCTCGAAACCTCTCAAATAAACGCTATTCTCATTTTTAATAATGAAACTGCACAGTGAAAAGAATAAACCAGAGAACGACTGACTACGCAAGAGTTAGATTGCACAGATGAAAGATGACAGCTGTAACTAGAACTAGATTAAAACTTGTTTCCTACTACAAAAGGGTGAAAGTGCTGCAGAGATCTGCACTTTTTGATTGTTAAAAGCACTAGAACGGAAATACAGACCAGCATACAGATTGACAGCTGGAGATCTGGATAAATAATTAATGAAGCAAAATGTCAGTAAACCACAGCTGATGTTGAAACTATTCCCCTGCAGCTGCAGATCCATTTTGGATCAAGAATCTAACTGAAATGTTACTAGTTGGCTCAGATATGCAGTGCCCACTCCCAGTTTTCATGCTGATCTACTGAAATTTTGCAGAGAGAACACCACGGTACACAGGAAACGGAGATATTACTTAATGGATGCGGAGATCAGTATCAAATCTGGGGGCCTCTCACATGATATAGAAGTAGTCCTCACTTAACCATCATTCATTTGATGACCATTCAAAATTACAGAAGTGCTGAACTGCTGTAGTTCAGCAGTGCTGAACAAATGGTAGTGATGTCCCAAAGTCACATAATCAAAACTCAAGTGCTTGGCATCCCACTTGTATTTACAAATGGAGGGGCACTTCCTCTAGTCTATACTGTGCCATCACTATGGTCTTGGGCTCTGGTGGACCTGCTACCTTCCAGCTGACCGTTGCCATCTTCTTCCTTCCATTGCTAATAAGGCATGTCCAGCTGGACTCTTCAAGAGGCAGCTCCTGGCCATGCCAAGCCTTCTTCCCAAGACCATGTGCAAGCTTGTCCAAATCACATGCAGTCTCTCAAAGCTTCATGAGAAAGCTACATACGATTTGGACAAGACCACGGGGCCTTGGGAAGAAGGCTGGATATAGGCAGCAGCTACCTCGGCAGAGATGGAGGGAGACAGGTGGGGGTGGGGGGGTGGAGTTGAAGGCAGTCCCTTACTTTACCAAGAGTCATGGCTGGGAGAGACCAAACCGGGAGAGGCTTAGATTGGGGCGATTGCTTGCCTTGGTTAATGATGACAATAGGGACTGCTGGATTGTTCTTACCAAGTGATGTGGTCACCTAATATCATGCTCTGACCAATCGCTTAGCAACAGAAATTCTGGTTCCAATTACCATTCTAACTCATGCACCACCTGGGATTGGAAATAAGATTGGCCCAAAGTCTCTAACAAATTCTAGGGACTCTTCCAAAAACTGTAGATTTATCTGTATCACTCTTTAAGAACACCCAGTTCCTGAGAAGAAACAACATAGCTGTGAATTTTTGATGCAAAAGAATTACTGCCAAAGCAGAAGTGAAACTCACTTTGAGGACATGGAATAGCAGTAGCATTTTCTTTAATTGCTGCCTCAAACATTTCTGGCCTGCCAAGAAACACAGTTAAGATTTGGCATAAGAAAATAAAGAAATAAAATCAACAAGCAAGGGCAAAGAAATTACAAGCAGCTCAATGTAAGTGTCACAAGAGTGGAATATTAAATTTGATCACAGGGTAGCAAGGATAATTATTGCCTCATTCCCATTTCCTTTTAAACCCTGTCCCATTCGTTGAAGCTCAGAAATGTCAGGTAACCCTTGAGCCAAAGACTAAAGCAAAACACAGGGAATATTTCAACTGCTCTATGGGCATCCTAAACAGAGACTTTCATTGTAATTTCACCCAAATGCTATGCATAGAGGCGTTTTTTGTGGTGTTTCAAAAACAGAGATTGAATTCTAATTATATTATAGCAAGAAGTAACCAGAAAGGGGTTATTCCTCTCTCTCTCTCTCAAAAAAAGGGGGGAGAATGACATGCTGAAGAAATAAAGACAGATTAGACAAAAAAAATTTCATGTCATCTAGTGTTCTCCAATGTGAAGCCCATCATCAGAGTTGGGACTCCCCCAACTGAAACCCTACAGACAATTGTATTGTGGATTGGAATCCAACACATTTGGGATTACCAGGATGTGGAGGAATGCACAAAGCCAATGTTTTTATTTAATTTTAATGAAACTAAGAGTATCCCCTGGAGCCAGACCATTTCTGAATTCAGAAACAAATGAAAATTGCATGATTCCATAAAGAAGGGAGAGATGGAATTATTATTATTATTTGCTTACTTCCCTTTGCATTAAAGCACAAAAGCCAAATGAATAATATCCAGGAAAACAATTGGCAGGGACTACTCAAAGATCCTAACTCCAGGCCTGGAAAAAGAGTCCCATGGGAGTTCCAGAAGATCTAACTGGTTGCAAGAATGGCCAAAGAGACTGGTTCTAGTCACCATCACCATCCAACAAGATTACAGTATCAGTAATGTGACTCTCAATTTGCAGCCTGCTGTCAATTTACTATCCTCCCTTTTTAAAACCCTCAAATCTCTTAATTCAGAGTAGAGTCAGAGAGACTGGTTGGAGCCGAGCATTTACTGGTCGGACGCTCTTCCTGACACCACATAGAGTTCATAGCAGATAGTTTTTTTTGTGTTTCTTAGGAAAGAAATGTGTCTGCTACCTAAAACTGAACTCTCAACCTTCTGAGTAGGAGGCAAGCATGCCACTCAGTCAATTTACTATATTGCTAATTATATACAGCATGTATTAACCGGAGAAAAATAATTAATAATTAATTAAATAATCAACTATTTCTAATAAAAAATAAGGAAGTAAATGTTCACATACTTGTAAAATTGAATTTCTTCGAGGAGTATAATTCAATATTACTTGATTATTTGGACAGTTCTGCTCTCTTAGGAAGGCCTAAGGTTCAATCCTTCATATATTAAAATACAACTTTTAAGAAATCCTGTAACTGACTTATCTGAATCCCATCTTTATTTAACTTTTATAGAAAGGCCACTCATCTGGCTTACTTTTTAATGATAAATTTTATCTTAGCTTTGTTTCGGAGGATTTTTTCCAATCTTGGAATGCCAAAAGTGGATGGGCGACGGAATGGCACTCCCTCAGGAAGGCCTTCAACGTAAAAATCTTCAGGATAAGATTCAAAAAGCGCAAAAGGAACTTTAACAGGTTCTGTCAGTCCAAGAGCTTCCCCTAGAATAGAATAATATGTGTGAGTGATTTGTTTTTCATTTAATAGGGTTTTCACATCTGTTTGGTAGGTTTGAGTCAAAATGGGTGAATTAAGGAATGTTTCATCAAGCAATTTCAGAATTATTTCAACTAAGAGCAGAATAATAATGCTCGAATTAAAGATATGATTCATCCACCACAAAGTATTTCTATGCCAAACTCAAGGTAGGCACATTGCACACAGGCAAAATATATTTACTTTTTAAAACTTCAGCTATTATTTTGAAATAAGACAATTTGCAGCAATAGGCATTCTTGGAATCAAAATGTCTTTTTTTAATTTCAGAAGATTGGTAATATTATTCTGTTATTAAGGAATTAAATATTCTTTATGGATTATAGTCAGTGGACTCTTATATTACACTAAAGTCAGGAAGTTTTAAAGTGCTGTAACACAAACTGTTGTAGAGTTTCTGCATATATGCTGCAGTGTATGGGCTCTGTTTCAAGACTGAGCCATCTAAGTATGTTTTGGTCTGTTGTCCCTTTTTTTCTGAACATTTTTGGTTTTTTTTCTTCTATTTATTTAAGCATATAATTTTTTTATAACAGTAATGTTTTAAGTAGTAAATGTAAGTGGAAAGAAATGATTTGCGGATATTATCTAATGAGAATTCTTATCTGCAATGTGAAGTGACATAGCCAAATACAGATTTAATTCTTTGAGAATCAGGCTGCAGAATTATGAATGCATATAACCATTGTGTGGTTAGACTCGATGGAATAAGAGACAGAGCATTCTTAGCAATAGAGAACTCCTTCCATAAGGAATATTTGGGGCGTGTTCAATTTTGTATTCTACATCATTAAGTCCATTTTATTCAGGCAAACATTTCAGAAAATGGGAATTCAATTGCTTACCTAGTTGATGCTTTACTGAATTTAATTATTTTCCTAATAAAATTTTCTAAAATGCTAAGCATATTATATTTAATGAGATAAAAAGCACTTACCACATTTTTCATTAAAAAGATTTTCAACTTTCTGTTTCAAATCAGTAATCTTGGCATTCCAGGCCTCTGTCAAAATATAATGGAAATTATTTTATTCCTGTGATGGCGAATCTATGGCACGTGTGCCAGAGGTGGCACACAGAGCACTCTTTGTGGACACGCGCACTGTTGCCAGTTGGTCTTCTGGTTTCCGGCATGCATGCGCCAGCTGGTTTTCAGGTTTCTGGCGCTCCAGCACACGCAAAGACCAGCTGGCTAGGTGGGCATGTGCACCGGCCAGCTGATTTTCAGCTTCCAGCACTCTGGCACGCGTGCATGCGCACACGTTCCAGTTTGACCACTTTGTGGCGAAAAGGTTCGCCATCACTATTCAATCCTATTATATTTTTGTTTTCCTCATTACTCAGTTGGATTTCTTCAGAACAAGTTTCTGACAGATTTCAGAACACATAATATGCAATAAAATTACACTGCTTATTAGTGTTGTTCTCTCACTGATTTAACATTTTGGCTACAAACCTTGAAATGTCAAAGGTTTTTTACTATCGAGAAACAACCAACATCGGATTTACTGAGCAGCAAACTAGAATGGATAGCTGAAGATATATAGAATGTATTAATGCAAAAACTATAGACATGTAAATATCCCATCTTCTAATTACTAATTCTAATAAAATTAAGAAGCTTAATTTAACGTAAAAGAAAATTTCCTTATGAACTTACCAAAAGAAAACTCTCTTCCTCTTGGCTTAAAGCCTGTATTGGATCCATTAGTTTGAGGATTAGTTCTAACATCTGAGGTTGATACCCTATTAGCAGGACCTATACGGTATATAGGAACATAACAAATACATTCCATTTTAGAAGTAGCTTTAAGTTTCAATTTCATATGAAATTGAAATCCTGAATATGCAGTCAAAATTTCCAGTGTGTTTCTAAAAGCCTAGTCTGCATAACATACCTTCATCTGAGAATGTAAAAGATACATCACAAGAGGCAATCTACCTTAAATTATTCTCACAGTGGTTGCAATTAAATAATAAGACACATATTTAAAAAGCAAAAACAGCTATTTAAGTAACTCCTTTTAAGGCTGCAATGCCCCATCAACTGCAAGCTAATTACATGATAGGAAAAGAAAATACCTGTTTTGGTTCCTTAACCTCTTTTTAAGGCTTTCTCCAAAGCTCACTGCCCAAGAATCCAGAAATACAATTCCCAATTTAAAAATATTTCAGTAAGCCACTATTCCAATATACATATGGGAAATTAAGAACTATATAAGAAAACTCTCTTGGTATGGTAAGATTCAGCAAGATTTGGAAACTGCTCTCCAAGAGAAGGCAAAACATGTCAATCTTCTAGCAAACTTTTGGTTTTCAAAATTTACAGTAACGAACACGCATTCTATGAATTCTGAGCCTCCGTTGAAACAAAGTTATTTGTTTTAAGCAGTGATATTCAGAATGTTTGATTGTTAAAATGTGAAGTTTCACAATTGAAATGGATCATTTTAAATTCTCCAAGATCATCACAGAACACTGGTTCCAAGAATGATTTTTTTTTCAAAGTTTCAACAAAATACCCAGGCAATTTTGAGCTGTGTTCTGATAAAAATTTCCAAGTGGACTTATTTCCTACATAATCCCAAAGTTATCCCTAAGGGGAAATAATTGGGTGAATTCCATACCTTCATCTACAGTAACTTCAATCTCTGGAACTTTAGAGTTGCTTACAGGACTTCGTGTAGAGTTTGAGCTGCTGGGACTCTGAGATCCTACAGAGACATTTACTATTTGTATACATTAAAAACCATTAATTATTGCATGATTTAGGCAGTTATACATGAAAACTTTAACATCATTAATAAAATATGAATATATTACATTTCTGCCAACAGATTTAATAGGTGGAGAAATATTCCTCTGTTTGACTGTATGGCTTTTTGACTAAATGGCTTTTGTCCTTTCTAACGAAGTTGCATTGTTGCATTTTATGATGACCTAGATAAGGGGCACATGGGGAGATATAGCAGTGAGATAAATGGAAGCAAAGCATTACTCAAGGGGGCCTTAAATAAAATGAAGATTCTTTAAGTCTACTGGAAAAAAAGAAGTAACTTGTTTTTTATTTCTAACCAATTATTTTTTGCCACTATTATTTTGATGAAACAAAACATTCTTTCCTAACCAAGCTAAAACTCCCATCTGTTATACTAACTATCTATCTAAAACCTGATAAGCTTTTGTATTCAGGTTGTTTTCTTGATCATAGGAAAAAACGGTGTGGGTTGGCCCCTTACATTTTCCAGAATGGCCCCGTGGGCCGGATCAGACCACATCGCGGGCAAGATGCGGCCCGCAGGCCTTTTGTTTGACACCCCTGTACTAGAACAAGAGGGACACACTTTGGAAAACATTTCTTCCATGGAGCTTCCCTCAATGGATGCATCTCAGTTAACCAGCATCCCAAACCCACAGAAAGAAATGGTACTATTACAAAACAGTGGGGTTCTTGATGATCTCCAAACTTGGTTGTTTTCGTGCAAATGTTTCATTGCCAAATTAAATAACATCATCAAATCAATGCTAACCCAAAATCTGAATTTAAATAGGAAACTATGTAGGAAAGAAAATGTGATTCAATAGCCACCACAAATTTCAGCAGTACTGCTTTCAAAAGTTCAACATATGATGCAATATATTAAGACAATGAAAACCTCTTTTTTTTAAATTTATTTTTCAAACGCATGTATCCTTCTTTCAACACCAGATTTTTCCATTTTGTAGTATTACAGCTTCTTAGTCACTTACCTGAAGTGTTCACTTTACAAGCCAATTCTGGAGGCAAGTATGAGGTAACAAGCTCTGGCCTACAAATCAGACAGTTTATTTTTACTAAAGCATTCTCACAAACACTCAAGTTATATAAGGTATCTTTCTATGGCACTGCAAACTCGCCGCATCATTTGATGTTTCGCATCATTTTTCCCATTTGCGGAGCTGAGGGGGTGTGTGTGGCCTGCACATGATTGCATCTGGTCTGTGGGCTGTCAGTTTGACACCCCTGGTCTATGGGGTTACTGTAGTGAATTATGTTTGGGGAGATTTTGCAGGGAAAATGGATTCTAGAAGGAAGTGATCTCTTTTGTTAGGGTTAAGAAGCAATTTGTCAATACTTCGTAAGCATCACCTACTGTACCCATTTTAAATAGCAGAAATGTACACAGTGCCACCGCAGAGCCAGAGCTAAATAACTGAGCCAGATAATTGAGAATTTGTCTAATTCTATTTGTTGAAATTAGAACATAACCATTACTCCTCTTGATCCTATTATGATTGTATTATGTCCTTCAATCTTATTCACACATTTGAAATGAATAATTGATAATAATAAAAGTGTTTTTGGTATCTATTGTGGTAATGGGAAAGCTTTCTAAAGATTATCCGCACCTCATTCAAAATGCAAGTTTTAATGTGCCCAACTGTCTTAGCTTCGAAGATTCAGCAAACCATTTAAAAATCGTATTAACTACCTCTATTGATACATGGGCTAAGATCACAATTAAACAGATGTCTTGTTAAATTAAGAAACCTACCAGAGACAGCACAATAAAAATGAAATCCAAGAAATAATACAAATAACAAGCTCATTAAAAAGTACCCACGTACTTCTTTACAATGAATTTAATTTTTCCACTGCCCCGCACAATTCTTTCCAGGCGTGGGATTCCAAACCAGGTTGGGCTTCGAAAGGGGATCCCTTCAGGCAAACCTTCTACATATAGATGGTCAGGATTTGACTCAAAGACAGGATAAGGAACTTTCACTGCTTCACTGAGACCCAGAGCTTGTGCTGCAAAGGAGGCAAGAATTTGATTTGGATCAAACTCATATAGAAATGGCATTCAAAGATAAAACTCACCCACCAGATATTTACTCAATCTTTCTAAGACTACTTAATTAAGTTCAGGTTTTGTTTGTTATTGTATTGGTAATACCATTCCAAGTATACAAAATCTTGAAAACACTAAACTTTCCTTTAGTCAAATGAAAGGACCTTTTAAAAACTTTGTTGAACCTCTCAATAAAAAAAAAAAAACATTTTCTGGTCAGTCATCCTTTAAAAACAGTGAATTGGAGTGATAATTCCAATCCCAAGAGTATCTTTTCAGAATTCTTACACAGACATTAATCCAATATAAATTTCATTTTAGCATAGCAAGACAACTAAATTCTGAATCTCCTCCTCTGCTAGCAAGACTAATTTCCTTGCCACTGCCTCAGAGAGAGTAAGAAAGGCAGGCATAAAGACATAGTTCTCCAGCATTTATACTGCTCTATTTGTATCTCCCTGAATAAATACAATTATTTGCTGTCTTTTCCCACTTTTTTCATGTGAAAATCAGATCAAGCTATGCAAAAGTCTACTGGGATTAATAGTGATCTACATCCAAAAATAGATCAAAGCAAGGCATCACAATTGTTCCAGAGATACAGTAATGTGCAATACTCTTTATATACTATATTTCTTACTAAATAATCTGTTAACATTCATAGAAGTTCTAGAAACTTTGGCATGTACAGTTTCACTCACGCCCAAAGCAATTAATCAGAATGCAAGAATTATGAATACAGTTTATACGGTAGTTTATTCTGCATGTTTACGTGAAACATCAGTACTACCTAGCAAACAAATAACGCTTCACCTACCAAATTTCATATTAAATATTTCTTCTACTTGTTTCCTCAATTTTGTGATTCTGACATTCCAATCTTCTTTGACTGGAATGAAAATAAAAACAAAAAATACAGATTGCACCTTAATAAGATACAATGATATTTAATAGATGTACATTCTATTTCCATCAAACCTTAATTACAAAAAAGTAGCTGTCATTTACTGATTATTAGATTTTACTGTCTCATAAATATTATTTTCCCATCTATAATTATCTTATCATTATAATGATCAGGCAGTCATTCAAATCAGATTTGAAGTACTATAATTTATAGTCAATTTTTAGATGATGTTGTTGTTGCAGAGAACAAAAAGCAATAAGTGTGCTTGAAAATTCAGGCAAAGGTCTACGTTATGTTAGACCCAATCATTCCTTGGCATGCCATCTAATTAATCCTACATATACAGCAATATATCTGGATTGATTTAACTTTATCAGGAGTTCTCAAATTCTATCAAAAATAATGAATAGCCTGTCTTAGAATCTGCATTAGACCTTCTCTTTTTAAGTTGAAGAGTAAAATGAGAGCAACTGTCACTTCAGCCCATAAGAGGTTACTAACTGAATTTATTCTTGGTTTCATTTTTCTTCCCACCATGATAAATGTGCCAACAGATTCAGAAACCAGTTAGTAACATTGCTTCAAATTACAAGAACAAAAAGCCAGAGGTGAAGAAGCTATGGTAGAGGAGGGGAATCCATGGCTCGCTAGATCTCACTTATAATTAAGTCAAAGTAGCCCCCCATGACGAATGATGAGGAATACTGGGAATTGTAACATTTGGAAGATTGCAAACATTATATGGTAAGCACTATGAAACCCTTTTCTTTCAAATCACAGTAGGTAAGTAAAAACAAAGGAGAATATCAAGCTATCTCAGAAAGAAAAGAAATGAAGTTCCATACTTTATCTTTAAATATAAAATGGGAAGAGAAACAAGAAAGGGACCTCTACCTGAAGTGGGAAAAGGTGTTCTTATCATCTTAAGAAACACTTATCTTACCTGGCATGTTTGTTCTTGGCTGAGTAACTTCTGTGGAACTGATTGTGAGTAGTTCTGGCCTAGAATTTAAAATATAGATAATGATTCTATGGTCCTTATCCTTCAAATATTTAGGGTCTCTTTTCTGAATTATACATTATGAAAATTATTTTAAAACTACTCTATTAGGTTGTAGCAGCTCAAAATGCAAAATAGGACAGTGTCTACTCATTAATTTGAAATGCATTTAAAACATATAAACCCCATTTGTTTTACTCATCGTTAAGACTACACAAAAAATGTTTTATAATTTTACAATGTTACAATCCATAGACTGATTTTCAACGGGTGTCCCCAACTTTCACACAAGGGATGCACATGTATTTAGCAGAAAGTCAACAAGATAGGGGTTCTCTTTTAGCTCTGAAATATGCTGTCATTTTTATCTTGTTAGGCAACACCTACATAAAATTTTATTTTCTAAAAACATTTCTGGGATGTACATAAGACCTATAAGCTTGGTTGGAATAAAGGTTAGTTCTGATGCTTGTATATATTTTGGAAACCATTATTTAAACAGCATAACACAGAAAAAAAAAGCCTTGAGAATGGCATCATTCATTGTAATTTTAACACATACAATAAATCCCTTGCAATTATTTTATTCCCTTAATATATATTATATTGCTTAAACTTGGATTGTTTTTTTATCTTGCAAATGTAATAAGAACATATTGAAATGCACAGGTAATTGGTCTTACTTTTTTATTACAAACTTTATCCTATTCCCCACTTGAAGAATTTTCTCCAGCCGAGGGATTCCATACCAAGAGGGACTCCGAAATGGAATATTCTCTGGTAAACCTTCCACATACAGATCAGTGGGATGCGCTTCAAATTTCTGGTAAGGTACGGCCTTTGGTTCAGTGCTTCCCAAGGCCTCAGCTATTAAAAAACATAGCAACACAAAGCACTCAGATTCCATGCAAGAACAAGATCTAAACTACAAATGTCCTGATTTATAAAATAGCATCTCAGAAACAGGTTAAACTTATACAGTGGTACCTTAGTACTTATCTTTAATTGGTTCAGAGAGGCAACAAGTACTAAAAAGGACAAGTACCAAACAAACTATGTGATTTACCATGTAACCGTTTGTTTCGGCCAGGAAGGATTTCCTATTTGTCCCTTTTCCTATGTCAGCGACCTTCCCAGCATGGCTGACTTCTTCTCTGCTGTCTGCCTTTGTCACCTGCTTCCTTTTGCAGCGACCTTCCCAGCATGGCCTATTTCCTGTCCACCCTCTGCAGCTGTCCCCCACTTCCTTTTGCAGTGAATTGAGTACTAAATAAGCAATGAGTACTGGGACAACATTTTTGGGTCAAAATGCGTCGAGTATCAAATTTGACAAGTTTTAAAGCAATCGGATACTGAGGTACCACTGTACTTGATGCTAATTTTTTTACACCCCTTCTCTTATAAAAATGATCTTTCCTTTCTTCTTACAAGGCAGAATTTTCATAGTAAAGTAATACATTAATTTATTATTTTTAATAATTAATTGATCTATAATTATAATTAGATTTAGAGATCACCTGATTCAAAGACTCTGATTCAAAGACTCTGGATGCTTTATAGTACACAAAATCAAGTAGATGGAATAGCTGTCCACCTCTTTCAGAAATAATTATAAGAGACTAGCATCCCAGTACAGAAAGAAGAGTCTTGCCCAAACTGGTAGAATTTTTTTCAAGTATTATAAAGAGGTTACCAACGCACATGAATTGCTACCAAGTGTACTTACCAAATTTTCTGCAGAATAACTGATCTACCATTTTCCTTAGTTTTGTAATTCTGGCATACCATTCTTCTTTCACTATAATCAATGGTGAAAACAAAGATTTTACTAAAATAGTTAACATTCCAAAGGCAACTCTCAGAAAATTCCATTTCACTTTGCCAGCCTTTCCATCTTGAAGGATGAATCATTTTGGTAGAGGAAAAGGCCAGATGAAGATGCTTTTGATAAGTGAATTTGTAAGTAATAGCTATCAAGGATAGTGCAACTATAATAAAGGACAAAACAATGAATAAGGGCAGATATTGCAGCTTTTCTAAGTGCCAGAGAGATAGCTAGTCATGTGACAAGTACCAAAAAGGGTAAGTAGGGCAAAAGGACAACCAGAAAATAGACCTCTGATCTCAGAGTACCTATTACAGTCTAAATATCTAATTCAGCAGGAAACAAGTCAATTTACATTTCAGCTCGTTTAATATTTACACCATATTGGTAGCATAGATATCCACAATGTACATGGAGATATTAATATCGGTATGTATGTACATGTGAGAAAAAAAGAGAATGCATACACACACTGCAAACTTGGCATATGTACAAAGGGTGGAGCACGTGTCATGGTATCATGATACAAGTTGTCATTTTTGCAACACTGGGTTAGGAAGAGATGCCCATGACTGATAGAAACACAGCCGTAAACTTATTCAGACTATTGATCCAAGTACTCCATTTTTTTAGTTGGTACAATTTCAGTTTCACTACTTGCAAATGCTAGAAATAAAACGATACTGTGTGCAATAATTCATTTATGCTTATTTATGAAAAGGTCTCTAAAAACAGGATATAGATCTTTCAAAACAATGAAATTAATTTGGGCTGATTTTTGGTGGGCAGAGTCAATCCACTAGAAATAAGTCAGATTGTATAACTGTTTCTGCTCAGCTAAGCATAGTTAAATAATATAATTGTTAATAGATAATTTCTACCACAAATGTTTTGCATCTACATTTTTATATAGTGACTTATTTACTGAAATGCTTTAATTTGTTTACTATATTTTAATGAACCTTTCAAAACAGTTAACAAAGAATCCTTAAAAGGTACACGTAATTTTTTTTTAAAAAAAATACAAATCTAAAATGGATGATTACTAACATAAAGCAAATTTAAAGGCCTGAGAATGTAAGAAAGCATCTTTGCCTAGCTCTCCCCACAAACACCAATCCATTAAAATAAGTGTCAGTGGACTTCTCTAGATGAATTCCAAGCTCAGGTTTTTACAACCATGGATACATTGTTAATGGTTGACCATCAACTTCCATCAAAAATTGTGCTCTAATCTACATCAAATGTAGCCACAACTGAGGTGCACACACTTACCTCCTGTAACTGGTTTGTCTAATGGTAAATCTTCTCGTGTTGAATTTAGCAGCTCATGCCTGCAAACATTCAAACAAAGTATGTATTTCAGCAATCAACATTCCACTTTGATTGCTAACTTTAGCCCATAGTAAACACATTGTTTGTTATATACCTCACCTCATTTCCACAGAGAAATTAAACAAGAACATGTTTTATAATGTGAGAAGACCAAATTATAGCAGAGATTTATAAACCTAAATTAAGAACACCATCATTCAACAGGAAAATACACTATGCAGGAATGTGATAAGCCAAGTTTGTCTTGAGAAGATGGTACACTGAACTTACCATAAAAGTTAATTTTCTAAGCAGAGAGAGGGTATCTGGTAGTGGGCATCTTCTCCCACACATCTTGGAGGCAGGGCTTAGATTTCTTCTAATCCTACTTTCCAGTGGGAAAGGATAAGCTATTTCCCAGTTTCAGAATAAGCCAGAAAAAGACGCAAAGATAAAATACTTGAGAAAATTAGGAATACAGAGGCAGATAGAGATTGGGGGGTGGGGGCTGAAACTTTTCTGCCGTAATTATTAGGTGCGAGCTGGAGGCCTTGTCTCTGCTACAAACTACAGGCTTTCACAGTAAATACAAGGACTGTTTGCCTACAAAGGCAGGGCATCCAATAGAACGGTGGTTTTCAGTATGTAGCAGGAGTGCTTTATGTTTACTTTCAATTTCAACACATAAAGCAGTGGTCCCCAACCTTTGCAGCTTGACGGTCCAGCTGAGGGGGGGAAGAGAGGTACTGGGCCACGGGAGTAGTAGGCCAGCATGCACACACGCAGCTCAACTTGTGCAAACAGTGGGTCCTAGTTTGACTACTACATGTTTGGAGGTATTTCCACTATCTTTATTCTTTAGGGTCCCAAGACTAGTGCCACCAGAAAGGTATCCAGTAAAGGAATGGACTTGAAAACTTAATAGCATGGCAGGAGTGCCACTTACTCCCCCAGAGACCTTCCACTCCAATTTTAAGAGTTTGTTAAATATCTCAGGAAATAGAAAACACATGATGGGGATGCAAGCCATCAGGAACCCCTCTGCTATCAGTGGGTTCACAAGAATATCTCCAGCAGGGGTGTCAAACTCGCAACGACACGTTGTCGTCATGTGATGTGTCACAACTTTTCCTACCTTTGCTAAACTGAGGGTGGGCATGGCCAGTGCACGACGCATCTGGCCCACACGTCTGACACCCCGATCTACAAGAACAGAGAGCTGTTTTCTACAGGCAAGACTCCTGCAGACTTTCCTGAATACTTGTAGAAAATTTGCTTTCAAAAAATCCTGATGGACTCAGGGACTGGCTTTAAGTTCTCCTTCTTACCTAGGGACAATTCTTCCTCCTCTTCTCTATATGACTGAGTCAGATGCCAAAAAATGTAAGCTAGAACTCTCTCTCTCTCTCTCTCTGGTGCTTGCCCTTTCTAATGAGAATCTAATGAGGACAAATCTGAGGAAAAGAAGGACTCAGGGATGGGCAATGCTTTCTGCATCTTCCTCTTTGTGCCTTCCCTGCAGACAAGAGTTCCCTCCTTCTTCCTGGGGTGGGTAGATTCATTCCAGTGAAATCATGCCTGGTTGGAAATCTCAATCCCATATTCTGGAGCCCCAGATGTAATATAAGATGCATAGAACCTGCAGAGAGGGATAGTGCCTGGCAGAGCCATTGAAAATGGTCCAATAATGGAGGGGAAGAGGGGCCTTGGGGTGTTGAGTATCCAGGACCCCATCTTCCACCCCATGTAGCATCTGGGTGAACAAACTCTAAAGAGAACCAATGACAACTCCACTGGCAGTTGTAAGCAACACGTGGCTTGGTAACTGTAATACTGGTCATGTTGGTCATGACCAATACTGGTCATGCCACATTACTGAAGGTAATGTGGCAATGGGTTGAAGGGCAATCCCTTCTTTGGCTGCATCATCAGAGAAATTTCTCTACTGTCCATGGATAGGAATTTCCATTTGTGAGTTATTAAGTCATGAGAGCCAACTAGGCTTTTTAAACAAAGAAAAATAGAGAGGAAAGTAAAGGGGGAAAAAAGAAATGATTATCTAGAACAATATATCTCAACCTCAACAACTTTTAAAATGTGTAGGCTTCAACTCCCCAAATTCCCCAGACAGAATGTCCATTTATTTTAAAGTTGCTGAGGTTTAGAAACACTGGTCTATGTTAACATGTGGTTAGCTGTCAGAACCCTTGTATAGATCTATTCCCCAAAGCAAGGCAAGGCTAGAACTGGGGAAGGGAGCTATTCCCCTCCCATAGGAAGAAGGATTAAGAGAAACCTATGCCCTGCCTCTAGGATGAGTGGAAGCAGATACTCACTATCGGGTGCCCTGGCTCCACTGTTGCAAAATGGTCAAAATTCCTCACTGACAAACAAAGATGCAAATAGTTTTAGGAATCCTTTAATAAGCTCAGCATAATTCGATATTATCGATAGTGACATTAAATGGATGTTAAGAACCATCAACAACTCAAACGCACAGTTATGGAATTTTGAAACTTAAAATATTCCAGCATAATCAGCAGGTATAGTTGAGCCAAAATCACATGCACACAAGCTCCTTTCTCTGAAAGTTTACTGTTCAAAGTGGTTGTGTTAAGAATCATGTTAAATGTGCTTGTACTTATGCTCATTTTGTGCATAGGACCTCCTCCATCATTCAAATCCTCCTTTCGATTTCCAAATTGCACAACCAGTTCCCCCTGGTTATCTACCAGCCCGCCCCCCACCCCTTCAGGATCAAACCTAATTTTTCTAGATTTCTTAAAAGCAAATTTCATTTTTCTGTCTGTCTTTGATTTAAAGGTAAAGATTAACAACATGATCTATAATTAAACTGTTCAAGCATGAGACAGCTGTTTTTGGATGTGTGCCTCAAGTAAAATATATGTTTCAGATGTTTTGGTTTGTGTACAAATTTGTTTCTAATCAGAAGAGGGCATGGGAGGTAGAAGGGAGGGGGAACTTATAGACTTGATTGATGGTTTGATGGTTGAGGAAAGGGAAGAAATGGCTGAAGCACATCACTCCCTCTCCCCTCTCAGCAGCTCCCAGTATAGTGTATCCCATCAGCCTACCTATGCCCTGATCTTCCCAGTGCCTATGCCTCTTCTCCCTCCCTTCAATCATTTCCAGTGTTCAGTGTGGAATATTTCAGAGATTGCTCTCCTCAGTTTTCTCAACATCTATCTTCCCTTTCCATGAATAGCTATGGAGTTTCTCAGTCATCCACATCATGGTTGTCTCACAGGTGCTTTTTCAACAGGCAACTGGACTTTCTGGTTTTCCTTTGAAGACATTTTGCTTCTCATCCAAGAAGCTTCTTCAGCTAAGAAGAAGCTTCTTGGATGAGAAGCGAAACATTTTTGGATGGCCATGAATAGTGACTGCATTCTGGAATATGAGATGGTGTTGTGGAGAGGGTTGGGTGATGTTGCCATGAGTCACCAGTGGCAACTGAAGGAGGGGAAAGTACTGGGAAGACTGAGGATCAGGCTAGCAGTGTATGTTGCACTGATGCATACATGGGGACAGCAAAAGGGATGGAGGAAAGAGAAGACTCTAGGATGAAGGGGGAACAGGCTTGAAGGATAGGACATGTCAGCACTTGCTGAGAAAAAGGGAAGAGAAAGAGGAATACATAAGCAGCTTCCTCTATTGCCCTTTCCAATTATGTTTTATCCAAAATTTAGAATCATTAAAACGTTGTGGGTATGGTGTTTGCCAAATGGTAACTAGAATGGTTTCCCAGAACTGGTAGAAAGTAGGGATTTGTTCCAAGATTAAAACAGAACTTTTTTTAAAATTTTGTGTACCTTCCTGTTTATAGGTAAATTTTAGTGCGCGGTTGACTCAATTCCAGTTCTTGTAGAAGGGGAAGAGAAATGGAGATCATCCCAACTCAGCAATTCTTTTGGGGAAAAAGAAAAGGCTGATGTATTTGTCCACAAAATTAAATCCAACTTACTTACTTCTTAATCACAAATCGGATCCGTTCCCTTGCCAGTAAAATCCGTTCAAGACGTGGGATCCCATAAGTGGAGGGTCTACGAAAAGGAATTCCTTCTGGTAATCCTTCCACATACAGATCTTCAACATGAGATTGGAAGAGTGGATACGGGATAGATACAGGCCCTTTTGCATTAATAGCTTCAGCTTTAATGTAAACAAGGAAAAATTATATTACAGTTTAAATAAAGAATACCCAACTATTTGCTCCCAAAGGATGCTGAATGTAACCAACGTAACAATATGTTTCAATGGAGCCTACTTTAAATAAAAGGAGGGACCCCCAAGGTTCCAGACCTGAAACCGATGCCAAGCAGCATCAATTATCAATAGTAATTTTAATTAACAATATATTAGCACCCTGGTTTTGAGCTCTAACACATACAACATAGTCAAACTATGATTCAGAATTAACTAATTTTATTTTTTCTAATCTTTAACATTGTAATCTCTCAGTGCAAGTCCTCTATAGATATAAGTATAATCATAAATCTGGATTGCTGGTGCAGCTATTCCATCAAGCTATAAATGGTACAGATCCAGATCAATTCATATTTTATTTTCTGATTCATTTTACAGATGGTCAGAAATATCACATTAGTTCACACAGATAGCAAACCTCAACTATAAATCTATGCCATGTCCATATTAACCCAGAAGTTTTTACTTGCTATTCACAAATATGTTCTGTAGGCCTGCAGTTCACACCTACAAAAGGATGCTTTCATCTAGAGTCAGGATGTAAAAATGTAATAGGACCATCTTACGTCTCCCTCTTTCTGTATTCTCATCATTTCTCAGGGGGAAAGGAGGTGGGAGCAAATAACCCATTGAACAGAGCAACACCTGCATTTGGCAGGAAGTAAAAAGAGAGAAGAAAGAAGGAGTTTCAGTTCTTATTCTTAAGGTGACTCAAAATAAAGAGAGCTTTGTCTCCCAATCTTCTGCATAGGGAAGGGAAGACACTGTACTACAGTTCACTTCAGAATCCTCAATATCTAACGGATTCTGCCAATGCATAGAGATTGGACTGATTCAAAAATTAAGGAAGAATTGTAGATTCAAAATTAATAGGACAAGTAATTTGTGATTTCAGGGTCCTCTAAAATTTCAAGAATCTTTGAATTGTGCAGTGGCTTATCACTGCTAGAAAACTGACTTTTAATGTTTTTAATCTCGCAATTGTTCTCTTTTATCAAAAAAGAAATCAGCCTCATACTATGATCTCAGCTACCCCAAAGTAAAATAATAACAGAATAGCAAAATATTTGCCAGTCCTAAATACTGTAAAGTCTTCTAGGATTTGAGGAATGTGGCACATCTGGTCCATTGTACTACAGTCTGAAATAGTATCTGTGAGCCAGGAAATGTTGCTGAACTATGTGATATGCAGATTGGGGAGATAGGTTAGGAGTAAATAAGGTCTACCCAAAGGAAAAGATGTCTATACAGCCAATATAAAAACATCCTAATTTTATACATTTTTCACATCCCCTTCCTTTACCTCTAGACTCCACTTTTTAAATGTTAGGCAGCTACATAGGAGTATACAAAACCTGCACATCAACACCTTCAAAATGTCAGATACACTTGGCTCTGAGTGGAAACTCACCAGGGACTTTCTATTTTGTTAATTTATTGTTTTGTTATTTTTCCTTGTTTTGTTTTTACTTTAAGGTAAAGGTGGTGTTTGTTTTGTGGTGTTGGCTGGAGTACTGAAAGACTGGAGCTGGCATTCTGCTTTAGGAGTGGCAGCTTGACAAAACTGCTCCTACATGACCTCTTTCTGACAGAAGATCTTGGTTTATATTAAGGGTCTTCAGGAGATGATGTGGCAGAAATTACACCTGGAGCACCAGTAAGCTAAAAGTGAACTTGACTGAGCACAAAAGCTCATGCTTCAATCTACAACGTAATAATAAGTGCCATTTATACTTAAATTTGCCAAAATCTACGTCTCTTCCTAAGGTGGGATGTGGAAGAACTTGTTTTATTATCTGGGATTCATTCCAGCTGGTAGATTTGGATGAAGTGGAAAAGAGCTTGGAATACTTGCCCTTCCTGGCTCTTTTGAGCAGTTAGCACATATTTGTTGGTAATCAATTTCAGAAAGCTGGCAGAACCTTTTTGATACCAGGGGTTGTCTCAATGTATTTAAGTAGGGATTGCATATCCCGTTCGGAAGATGCCTTCCTTGGATCCAGCAACCTTGGATAATTATTTTCCAAGAAAAAAGCACTCTGGCTCCAGCAGTAAAATATCTTAGACAAAAGTCCTTTTGCCTTTTTTTTCAGCCTTAATCTGATACTTGGTAGATTTTTTACTTATACTATTATAACTAAAAAACAGAAAATTTTGAAAAAGTGTGCAAAACAAAAAAATGTAAGAGAAATAAAAGTATGAACAGAATTGAGCTGCAGTAGAATATGAAAACTTTTTGAGAAGCCTAAATTGAGTCAAGTGGGAAACAGAATTGAAGGAAGAGATTAAGAGTATCATCATTAACACTAGCTTTGCTTATCATGAGATTCCTGCCTTCCAAGCAGTGCAGGAGATTAATTCATATATAGATGCCTTTTCAAACCGCACAGGAGAAAAATAAATTGCCACAAAATATACAATATTAATACTCTTTTTATTTTGTGCAGGTCCCAGGGTACAGCTTTTCTTGGCAGTGTATTTAAATTCCATGCAGAAGATTTGCATTCTTAGGAAGCCAAGTCTAAAAAAAACTTCTAACAGCAGGCCCTTCAGTAAAGCAGAAAATACTAAAACCCATTGCAATCTGCAGAACCAATCAGTTATAAACACCCTTTGGCACTGGCAGCTCTTGGACAATGGCAGCACAAGACTCTATGGCAGGGGTCCCCAAACCTGCAACTTTAAGACTTGTGGACTTCAACTATGCTGGCTGGAGAATTCTGGGAGTTGAAACAGGGGTGGGATTCTACCAGTTTGCACCTATTCGCTAGAACCAGTTGTTAACATTCTAAGCAGTTTGGAGAACTAGTTGTTAGAAGAAATTACTGGCCTAATCCTGTAAGGAAGGCAGGAAGAAAACATTCTGGTGTTGCTTACAGAAACTGCCTCTCCGTTAACCCTTATTACATTCTCGGCAGGACTAGACTTCCTGTCTCAGGAACTTCTCTGGAGTTTTTCCCCCCTCCTTTGCTGGTACTTTGTTTGTGTGGAGTGACCATTCAAAGTTACAATGGCATTGAAAAAGTGACTTATAACCTTTTTTCACACTTACGACTGTTGCAGCATCCCCACAGTCACGAGAGGCCAGGCGAGGAGATGCGTGCCTCGATGTGATATTGAGTTGGCCACGCCCAGCCAATAACATGACCACCAAGCCATGTCCACCCAGTCACATGACCACCAAGCCATGCCCACCACCTAAGCCATGCCCACAGAACCGGTTGTTAAAAACTTTGAATCCCACCCCTGAGTTGAAGTTCACAAGTCTTAAAGTTGCCAAGTTTGGAGACCTCTGCTCTATGGCATAAAGAAATCAAACTTTTTAAAAGTTATTAGAAGTACTCAAATATAACTGGATAACTGGGGAATGGGGGAGGAAGACACATACCATATTTTCTTTCAAATAATTCTTCAACTTGCTTTCTCAAGTCTGTAATTCGGGCATTCCATTTCTCTGAAAGGAAAAAAGCACATGTTAGCCATAGAGGATATATGAAACCTTTTAACTTATTTCATTCTAAGTATTAATTCTATCTAATGCTAATGTGTGAATACAGAAAGTAAAGCCTGCAATAAATAAATAAATAAACCTATATCCATTTATCCATCCATCTCCCAGACAATCAGTTTTTTAAAAACAAAAATTATTTCTCTTTAGCAAGTGAGTCAGTAGCCTATTTCCATTAAAGTTAAGGAGACCTAAATTATGGAAGTATTTACATACAAAACTTGTATTTTGAATGTTAAGACACAAATAAAATTCTAACTTGGTTTAGAATCAATCCATCTCCATATCAGGATTAAGGCATTTCATTATATAATAAAGATGAAACAAGCCCAAGACCACTTAGCTTAACTCCACACTACCGATCACATTAAAGCATTCTATAAAAGGCTAGCTTACTGGTTTATATATGTCAAATCACTACCTCCTTGTCCTTCTTCTACCATACTTTTCAATATTTAAATTCAAAGAAGCCTGATGAAGAGCTTGATTACATCTATCATAACATCTACTCTCACATGAACATTTTGAATCTTCAAAATATATGTCTAGGCAATACATTTAGTTCTACAAAATATATACTTTTCCTCCATGGCCAGTATGACTGTCTTGGATTTTACATGTGAGAGAACTTCAAGGTATTTCAGTCGTTCTTGTAGGATTTAATTTATCTTCATTTCTTCTTTGTCTTATCAAGAGTTCTTCAAAGCCTTAACAAGCTTTTTTTGTAAATCCAATAGGAAAGAATTATCCAGATCACTTTTTTGGTTACTCATTTGTATTTCCTTTTTAAATTTTAAAGTTTCAGCCAGTTTCTTTTGTAGATCCAGTGAAGCATCTTTTTCTAATTCATTCTCTTTGCCTATCTGATATTGTGACTACTATTTTTGGATTCCATTCTTCAAAAATCTTCTGAGGTGTTTTTGTTGTCTCAAGGTTTTGCATCATCTTGCAGACATGTACATGTAGTCCTCAACATACAACCATTCAGTCACATTTGCAACCTTCCCTCCCAGTTTTCCTAGAAAGTCAATGGGGAAGCCAGCAGAGAAGATTAAACATTGCTGGCATAAGACTCCCACACCCCCTGACTTATATGCCTGTAACTTGTGCACCACTACATACCTTCCCTGATCAGTACACTCACCACCCCCACAAACTCTCCCCAGCCCACACAGTGCCTCTCACACACACTCTCTCATATCTGCATAGCACCCTCACTCCCTTACAAACATGGCATCTCTCACACATATTTTGCCCAACCCTCCATTGCACATCCTGCCTGCATTGCACCTCGGGTGCCCCCTCCCTGACAATCATACCTGCTCCCTCTCCGTGGGCGTGATCTCTTGGCATTGGCTCTGCTTTCATGGAGCCTTCTTCAGTTCACCTTACCTTCCCCAGAACTCTGGCATTCCCATTTTTCTAAGCATATTCCACAGCTTTGTATGATTGACAAGTAAGGATCCTTCTATAAACAATGCACATGTTCACTTCTTTTTGCTATTCTTTGGCTTTCTGAATAATCCAGTATGTATCAGCAATGTCTCATGTTCCTCTGTCTTTTCCAAATCCATACTGAATATTTGGTACCACTTTTTCTATATCTAATTCCTAAATAATTATAGATATACTCTGACTTTCTAGGGAAAGTCTGACTTTGCTCTCTCCTGACCCATTCCAAACTCTGCTGTCTTTTTCCTCTCCCTCCTAACTCTGGTTTTACCACCCAGCTTGGTTTATCATTGCCTTCTCTTGTGTACTTTGAAACTATCCCTTTACCATTGTCACTAAGTCATATTTCACCTCTAGCATCTTCCTATATCAAAACTGCACAATACACGTGCCTGCTTGCTTTAGCTGGAGAATTGAGATGACATTTATGCCTTGTGTGACTCTGCTTATACAAGTAGTCCTCGACTTACAAGTTCGCTTAGTAACCGTTCAAAGTTACAACAGCACTGAAAAAAGTAACTTATAACTTTTTTTCACTTACGACCTTTCCAGCATCTCCGTGCTCATGTGATCTAAGTTAAGAAGCTTGGCAACTGGTTCATATTTATGACTGTTGCTGTGTCCCAAGATCACGTGATCATCTTTTGCAACCTGCTTACAGGCAAAGTCAATGGGGAAGCCAGATTCACTAACAACCGGGTTACTAACTTATCAACTGCAGTGATTCCCTTAACAGGCAAGAAAGGATGTAAAATGGGGCAAAATTCACTTAACAAATGTCCCACTTGACAGAAATTTTGGGCTCAATTGTGGTCCAAAGTCAAGAACTACCTGTATTATAGTCATCCCTTTGGGGTAGACCAGAACAGGAACCACATTCAACAGGAAAAGCAGAAATCTATTGAGATAGACTATAATACAATCTTGCAAATCCTATTGTACTTCTCCTCCCTTTCCTCTTATACCTCAGTGAAACAAGAATAAGGAACGTGACAGCCTCATCTCTTATTAATATTATCTTACTTGCCAGAACTTCTTAACATATATACCCTTGGCATATGCTCGTACCTTTATTTGCTCACCTCTCCCAGGCATACCATTCTGCCACAATGATCTAGCAAAATAGGTTTTGTGAAAGACAGTCTTAATTAGCCTTGTTTGAACTTTCCCAGTGAATGGGTCTAAACTAGAACTGCTTCAAAAAGATAATTTAATCTAAAACTTACCAAAATTGAACTCTCTAGCTTTTCTTCTCCCCACAGTGGAAGTATCATTAACTGGTTCTATGCTCTTTGTCTTCTTATGTGGTGGTAAATAGTCATCATCATCTTCAGAGAGACAAACATATGCATCACAGCTGTTACTTGACATTATCACATTGTCTTTAAAAATCATGACAAATAATCTGCTGTTGAACTATTCCAAAATAAGGATTCGCTTTCCTATTTGATACTCAAATTATGTCAGTAGGGTTAGAATTTGCACCCTGGCTTTTCCCATCTTAGTTTCAACACGGCCCTATCCTACCCCATTCTGTTTGGAGTTCCAACCAAATATAAAGATTCTACATTAGATTAAATGACTTGAAAATAAAAATATCACAAAGTTATTGGATATAAATCTCTCTCAGAATATCAAATAAATATATTCTTAGATGGTGGGACAAGAGATACCGTATATTTTGGACTATAAGAAACTCCAAAGTATAAGACGCACCTAGTTTTTGGGGAGGAAAAAAAGAAAAAAAATCTGCCTCTGCCTCCCAGCAATTTGCCCCCTTGCAGCAAACAGTAAACAGCCCGGTCAGCTTCAGCACAGCCTGATTAAGCAAAAAGCAGATGATTGTCAGCCTTCTGATGATCAGCTGTTTCAGGCTGCAGGGATCGCCATTGCCTATTGCCACTTCTGCGAGCCCCATTTTCCGCCCATTCCAGGCAGTAGGGATCGGAACGGGCAGAAAATGGGGTGTACAGAGGCCAAAAGCCTGGTCAGCTTCAGCACAGCCTGATTGAGCACAAGCAGCTGATTGTCAGTTGGAATTGCTTCCTGACAATCAGCTGTTTCAGGCTGCGGGAATCGCCATCGCCTATTGCCACCTCCGTGTGCCCCATTTTTGGCCTCCGCATACTGTTTTCTGCCTCTGCACGCCCCATTTTCTGTCTGTTCCAGGCAGCAGAGATCGGAACGGCCAGAAAATGGGGTGCGCGGAGGACAAAAACAGGATGTGGAGGCCGAAAATGAGGCACGCGGAAGTGGCAATAGGCAATGGCAATCTCTGCAGCTGGAAACAGCTGATCATCAGGAGGCAATTCCAACTGACAATCAGCTGCTTTTTCTTAATCAGGCTGTGCTGAAGCTGACCAGGCTGTTTGCTGTAAGGAGGCAAATTGCTGGGAGGCAGAGGCTGAAGGGTGGGGGCTGGCAGGTGGGCGGGGCTTCGGCAACATTCGCTATATAAGACGCACAATTTGGTTGTAATTCCAGCAATAAATGAATAAACACTAAATAAATTAACAGGAATAGATGTGTAAAATGTTACTAGTGCTCTAATAAATGTGAATAAGCTTGCATTTTAAACAGAGAGAAACCAATGTCTGCCAAAACATTAAGAAAGAAAAACTTATTTTTGATAAGAAGTATGTTAAACTATATATTCAAGGATGCAATTATCAACTAAAAAGTTATGAGGCAAGAGAAAAGAAGATGTCTGATGCAAACATACACATGCATAAACAGGAATGTCCCTTTTAGTTTTGTTTCCACCCTTCCCCCCCCAATAACCTACATTAGCCTGCCAGGTTAATCCAACAGCTGCTCAAAGTAAAATAAACAGATGTTCCAGTGTGAGTCCGTTGTTAGCAAATAGAGACTAGCATTCTTGAACACTTTTTGAAAAATTAATAGACTGACATTTGCCAGTACTAGAAATGAAACAGAGAGAGATGAAGAAAAAATGCATTGTAACTATGTTCTGAGATTATATTTCTATGTCACACCCTTCAAATTCATGACAAAGTAAGTAAAATAATACAATTTAACACTGAAAGGACTTACTCTTATTAACTTTATTTACAAAATCTGACACTACATTACAGAACATGGTGCTTTTATTTTTCAAGCAGGAAAAGCTATCAATATTATACTTTTCTTCACATGCAGAAATAACTTATTTTCCTATTTCTCATCAAAGAATATCCAAATAACTAGGCATGAACAAGTCATACATCATCTAAACAGTCTTATCAGAATTCAACCAACCTTGTTTACTAAATTCACAGTTCTTAGCACAATAGTTACTAGTGTGGAACTGCAAAATCTGAACGCCCTTTCAGTTCTTCAACTTCTTTCATCTCACTTTTCTTTCTTTTATGAGATTCGTGTAGTTTTTGAAATAGCAATTTATTACAGGCAATAGGTGGGTGGAGAGGAGATAAGTGCAGGAAGAAACAGATTTAAGATGATTTTACTTAAGGTAGATTACCAGACCTTAACATTAGGCGGTCAACTTCACAAGGTATTTTCTACTTCTCAAATCTACCATTTGAATTTCTCAAGTGAACACTTTGTTTAATCTGCCTCAAATCTTACAAAACTTCAGCAAGACCAAAATGATGTGGGGAGATTACAGACAAACAGGTCTTTTGGTTTTACTAGATTACCAAATGAATGGATCTTTCTTGAATACTCTGGAGAACTTCCATAGCTTTAATCATTGCCCAATGAAACATCCTCAACTGAAACAGAACCTGCTTCCTTCTGGTAAGCAGTAATATCAAATTGAATATCCCCCCCCCCCTTTTTTTTTTGCATTTTTGACATCAACTGCTCTAAAAAACATGATTCAAATTCTGCATTTACAAAAGACTAGCTTGCCCAACACAAGTTATCTTATGGAATGGGAAGGGTTTGGGAGGAAGGATAGAAGTGATGTACACAATGCCACATGACTGAGATTCTTCTGAAACAAGTGAGCAAAATAAAATTAGTTGAGAAAATGGCCAACCTTCAATGGTCACTTCCACTTCAGGATCCTCACTTGTTTCAGAAGTGGCATGCTGAGAAGAATCTGAAAAAAGCAGAACAAAAAAACCAAATCTGAACGGCGCAGACACACTGTAAGACTGATTTTACTCGACAGGGGCACGTCAACATATATCTTGTACACTATGGATAAAACAGACCCATAACATATAAGCCAAAATAGTTTATCACAAACTTTAAAATCTATGAAATGAAAATAGAAACATGTGGATGTTTAAGTAACAAGATTAATAGCTTTTTTCTAGATTCACTTGAATCTTTGCTGTCAAACATTTTCAAAATGATGAATATAGGAAATACACAAATTCTCACACGAGACAATTACCATGATGCAAACAAATGAGAATGATTGTAGTAATATTTCTAAAAATGTATGTTAACACAACTGTTATCTAAAGATTAGAACTGTAACTGCAAGTAGTATTTTCTCCAGTTCATTTGTATTCTACAGCTGTCCAAACCTACTGAGTGGTTCACCTTTTTTCCCCACGTTGAAGTCATCAATTATCAGCAGAAACATTTTATATAATGGAAGTATCATAAAGCACTGATACAGCATTGTATGTCAACATGAGACATTCTGAAAAGACACTGTTCTTATTTTCTTTCCTATTCCCAGTGCCAAGGTCAGAATACATATCAAATCCAAATGAACAGCTCTTTCTAACAGTCAAAAGACTCAGAGAAGAGGGTTATAACAAGGATAATGGACTCCACTACTTCCATTATTAAATTGATTTGTTTCCACTCAGCTCTTCAAGGCAGACCAGGTGGAGAAACAAGCATGTATCAATAACACAGCAAGAAATTCCAGCATTTCTTGACCTAGTCTGCTTCAAAGAGCTAATATTTCCAAACTACAATTGCTGAATCCATGCACTGGACCAGTTTTTCAATAATTATAGTTTCATCACTGTCATGTGATCATCCTTTGCTATCCTCCCAGGTAGTTTTCAACAAAGACAGATTCGCTTAATAACAGTGAAATTTGCTTAATCATCACAATAAAAAAAAATCATAAAATCAGGCCCATGACTCAGTTAATGATCACCTTGCTTAGCAATGTACGTTCCAGTTCCAACTGTGGTCTTAAGTTGAGGACCACCTGCATATAACGTTAAAGCGTCCATTTAGGAAATGTAAATTGCAATATATATGAAAAAAGGGTAGAAAATAAAATTCATGTCCGAGTCAACCAGAAGTTAGGTACTAAATTATTATGGTAATATCTTCAAACAGAATTGTTTCCATCATTTTAGTCATTTATTTTAAATATCTAAAATAAGGGAAAAATTAATTCAAACACATGTTTAACCATGCTCTTTGTCCTTTGGCAGAAATGAAAAAATATCAAAATTGTAGTGCAAAAAAACCTGCTCTTTAGAAAGAGGTTACATATAATTTGTTAGATTATTCTCTGAAGGAGATTTCTAACAATAGAATTTAATACTTTTATACTGTCTTTAGTCAGTTAGAAATATGCATATAGAAATGTAACAATTGTGTTAATGAAAATCTGGGTGAGCAAAGCAAGCTAAATTCCAGGCATATAAGCATGAAAATACATTTTGAATTAGGTAACTCACTCAGTTTATCAATTTAATATAATATCTAGGATTAGCCCATGTGAGTAGGAAGACTACTTAGTAAAGGGTTATGCAATTCTCAAGGCTGTATTAGAGGATGACTTTTTTTCATTGTCATAGCAAACCAAACCTTACTAAACCATATAAATGCATAATGTTCTAGTAAGTCACTAGTTTTAAGGAAACAGAAAGCAGCATATAAATAACAGTTGCATGGTAGACGGTAGAAGTATTTGAATTCAGCTTTCCATTCCAATTTAGGAATTGCTGAACCTTAGTTAATGCTTTAAGGTTGTATGGTCCTTATCAAGTCTTCTTTTGAAGTTAAGACTTCCCATTCTTGCCTACCAGCAAGGCATGTCAGGAAACATGTTGTGCAGGATTTCCACTTTGGGAATACATGTCGCAATGTCAGACAATATAAATATATATATTGACATAATAGTGAACAACAGTTTAGACATGGCAATAAAACATAATTGGCATTCTCTTTTATATAGCCACACAATCTAGAACAAGTTTTTCCAATTTTAAACTCAACAACTTGAGAGCCATGGTGGCACAGTGGTTAGAATGCAAAATTGCAGACTACTCTGCCCACTGCCAGCAGTACGATTCTCACCAGCTCAAGGTTGACTCAGGCTTCCATCCTTCTGAGTTCAGTAAAATGAGGACCCAGATTGTTGGGGACAATATGCTGACTCTGTAAACCACTTAGAGAGGGCTGTAAAGCACTGAAGCGGTATAAAATTCTACATGCTATTTCTATTAGACATGTTGAACCAAGCCAACATTACAGAACAAAGGTTGAAATTCATCCCTTTCAAATAACCATAGTGTAGATTAATCAGTACAGATAATAGATCTATCTCTGTTTAATGAAAAACAAAAACAAACTTCTCAATTCCTCTTTTATCTGAATCAAAGAAAGAAGGGACAGCAAGTGATCCATTTTAAAAATGAAGCATGTTCGAAACAGATTCAAAATTTTACATTGACAAAGAAGTGATCTACACAGCATAAAAGGTGACCAACAAAAGAAGACATAGAAAAGATTCTATGTCCAAACAATAATATGCCATTTTACACTGTACAGAACTGAGGATCCTTTAACACCCTATACATATCCACAAAGGCTTTCGAAGAAATTTCTTTTAAGCTACTTCCACTGTTAACTTAAGGTCTACTATTTTTAATACAAATGTTGATTGTTAGCCTTTTACACCCGCTGAATTTTCCTCTTTAGATTCTAATAAAAAAAAAATTCAATTTTTCAGAATCACTCCATCAAAATAAGCAACACGACCCTAAAGGAACAGGGAAGTCTCCTTCAACGTTTAAAATAAATACATTAATATATATAAATACTGGCTTGTTCAGTAACGTAACCTTGGGGTCAGTCCAAAACAGTTTTATTTTCAGATTCTATGTTACAATGCACAAAAAAAGCTCAGGAACCAGAGTAATTTGACAATATGATCTTAAAATTTGAACAGGGAGTTAAACCTAATGACACACTATTGCTAAATTAATGTTTCATAAAACTGTTCGCCAGTATGTTGATTCAAAAATAGTTCCATAATAGAATTGTTCCTATGAACTACAATTTGTAAGCCTACCAATTCAGCTTTTATTAAACAAGAATCCTTAATATTATGGCACTGAAATCAACTGAAAAGTTAATATATACTTTGGCAAGCACCAGTCACATTCTCTGTAGTAACAGCAGCAATCCCGTTTCAGAAATAAGCTCTTTAAATTTGAAAGAGATAATCTGTTCAATAAAATTCATATTAGCAAGATCATACAACTAAATAACTTCTTATACTTTTCTTCACATCCCATTGCACCAAATCTTGCACTGCTAGTTTTAAATATTGAAATAATTGAAATAGGCAGTAAGACAGATCTATCATAAAATTTAATTATAATTGTAAATTACAAACACATATCTTTCATTGCCACCTTTAAAAAAAAAATCACACATGCTGCCTTCATACATTCAAGATCTGTTATGTAGCAGCACTATTGCCCACTCAGTAGGAAAAGGATAAATAAAATCCACCAAACTTGATGGAAAAGACAAATTGGATGGAGGAAATCAACTATCAACTCTTTCCAAATATTGGTAACTTTTATACTTTACTAGAAGATGGAAGAAGGGAGAAAGGGAAAGGAGATTATATTGAAAATATTTCTCAATAGTTTTCCACAATAAACATGCAGGATCACAATTCAAGGGGAGAAAAATAAATACACAACCATGTGGAATATGAAAAAAGAATGCAAGACACAGACACAATGGATGTTTGCACTGTGCTCTTTTAATTTTTTAAATACCTTAACAGTTTATTTTTTAAAATTTACATATATCTAACCTTCTACTGGCAATTCCACATCTGTTCCTTCACTGCAATCGGAACCCTGGTTGCTCCCTTTAGACAAATATAAACATACCATCATAAAAAAGTGAAGGATGAAATTTCAGAATTAGTTTCTTAAATAGGCTGAGTTTTATGGCACATTGGCACCCAGCCTCCATCAGGATCACTGCAAACAGAAATCTATGGGAAAAGTCAATCCAAAACAAAAATCCAAAAGTACAGTATTTAGGTAATTGATAATTTGGAAGAGTTCTCTTCGCATAATCCAGATAGCATAGATTTTAAAAAGTACTGGGGAATGGATGACAGCATGTAGCTGGGAAAATATACACATTTTCCCATTATATTCAACAGATTTCCTTTGTATTACTGAATTGCTAACCCTTCTAATTTGCCAATATAAAGGGTTAGAAAATATGGAAAACAGAAAAGTGTGCAAAAAGGTATCTTTATTCCCCACAAATGGAAAAAGGAGGAATACAGCAGCTGTAAACAGAAACAAAGTTTCTGAATGACTCCAAAATAGAAAAGTAATGAGGGCAAGAAATCACTGGTCAATGTAATTCAGGCCATGGATCTGAAATCAAATTTAGACGAACAGTGTTCCTGGCAAGCAGGACATGATACTGTGGCATTAATGTTGTGAGAAATAGTACCATGATAATGAACAAGTGAATTGCTATACCTGTATAAGACTTTGCCATGGCGATTTTCTCATCAATCGCCGAAGTTTCTGAAGGACCTGCTTTGTAAATAAAGACAGCCATAAAAAAATCACTAAGATTTTTCCATTTCCATTATGAGAGCATGCTGAGCTGAATCAAGCAATTACAGAGCAAAGAATTCTTATAACGGGGAGAGGTGTTGAACAATAGTTAAAACCGCTATTAATGCTTAGAATGAACAAGTTCCAAATGCATCTACAGCCTTCTCCCTCTGTCATTTGTATAAAACACATACCACCCCATGTGTTTTGTGATGTACTTTCAAATTCCAATGAATTGCACGGTTTAACATGAGAAGTCGTGAGTTTTGTGTAATCCAGAAGGTTCCAGATTTTCCTTTGAACAATCCATAGGTAGATGAGCCACTTTCTATATGGATTACTGCAGCACTCTCTAAATGGGGCTCTCTGGAATACAGATGGCAGCTTCATTGGTCCAGAAGGCAGTAGTGCACCAAGATTCACCCATGTAACCCCACTGCTGAGCAAGCTGCATTGGCTTCCAGTAGTCATTCAAGTTGTTGGTTATCAACTATTAAAGCTCAATAAAGCAGAGGTTGTTTTGTGGAACCGCCTGTCTCCAGTAACTTCTACCCATCCCACCAGATCTTGCTCAGGTCACCTCAATGAAACAATGCAATCCTGTTCGATCCAGGAGATACACTTTCCTTATCATGGCGTCCACTCTAAAGAACAACCTTACTTCTGAGATCCGAATGGCTCTGATTCTGCTGGCCTTCCAGAGGGCTATGAAAACCTGGCGAAATCTTAGACATTAGGACCGAGTTATTGGCAGAAGCTGAAGCACATTTGGGAATCCCAGTTTTTTTTTGAGATATTTCAGCTTATATCTATTATATTTGCTATTAATTATATTTTTCATTCAGTCTTATTTTGTTTATTACTACCCAGAATGATTTGTCTCAGATGAGTGGCCATATACATTTTCTAAATAGATGAGAGGATTATGGTGGGCATTTATGGGAAATACTTGTATTCAGCATCTTTTATGTGATACGGAAATATCATTAAGAATTACAGCAGTGTGAAAATTCCAAGAGTCATTTACCTCTGGATCCTAGAATGACAGCAAATCATATCACACTCCATACCATATCAGCACCATAAAGATAAACAATAATTTAAAGCTGCCTATTCATTCAACTAACGAAATTTTGCACATAATTTCTGAAAGTCAACCAATAGCATATGGTCAGTACAAGCTGTGATGAAATATAAAGGCAGGAACATTCTCCAGTGTCATCAAGACAGTAATCAAGATGGAGTACAGTCTTCTGGCTATACAGTTGGGACCATTTATTAGTGATTCATATACTTGTATAGTGTCCATTTCTCCAAGGTGACCTCTTAAATCCAAATTCAAGGCATTTTAGGAACAGTAATGAATTTTCAATCAGGTATGCTTGCCCGCGAAGGGTTTCTTTATGATGTTTTTCAAACAAATAGGTGGAAGTTATTCTACAATGTTATCTTGGAAAAAAAAAATCATGAAATTTTGGGAATTTAAGGTCACATTGAGTTGAAGTCTCACGAGATTCATACCATAAGATTTTGCTTAAAATTTATGGTTCCATGGAAACCGTCTAAGAGTTCTTCAGAAACCCCCCACTCTGTAGGCACTATGATGATCCTTGAAAAAATTCAGTTACATATTAAGAAATTGCTTTCAAATGCCTGACTTGCATATCTTCTTCTATAATCCTAACAGCTACTTTTTAAAGTCAATAGGCTGTGTATGTCTAAGTTCAATCAGGTGTTCAATCCATTGATTAAATGGAGCCATACAGTTAGTTATCTTTCCAACGCTGCAATATTTGTATAAATAAGTATAATGAAATATGGGACCTATTCCTACGGAATACAGTAAGTTAAAAAGATATGGTATAAATGTACAGAAATATATACATACTTCAGTGGGATTTACATTAGACAAATATGCATTAGACAAAATATATTGAAATTGTAATTATTTTATATATATTTTTCTTTGTCATATTTTTTCACTTTTTTGTTAAACACTTTTAACTTTTATGTTTTTTTCTCTTTGACAATGTATAATATCACCATCACTACTATTTTTGTTTTGCTCAATAAAAGCAATACAATTTTTTTATGAAATAAAATATAATAAAGTCAAAATAAAGTCTACACAAAGGAACCACACCCCTATATATATATATCACTTGCCCTTGCTAAAAGATTATGACTGAATTTCACTACCGCCTCTGTTATAACTGAAGGCTTCAAGGGCATACTATAGAAAGGATATTGGGGAACGGAGCAATGTGGTATTATCCTCAAGATATGAAAGAAGGTATCTGTAAGCAAAGCAGGTTTTTAACGTTGTTATTTTTTGGCCGCATAAACGAAGTCTGATATGGTTCTGTAAAGAATATCCATGCTTTAACACTTCATCCTATACCGTTTCTGTTGTCAGCTCATACACACTATTTTCAGGATTCTGGTGCAAACCAACCTGGTGATGTTTTGCAATGCCAGCACTAGGCGACGGGTCAGAATTGGACAGTTGTCCAGTTAGCATTCACCATCCTAAATGTTTGTCTCCTTGCAGAGCATCTTGCTCAGAATGGGTCTTTTTTTAAAAAAGGGGGGGGGGGCAGTACAAACCAGTAAAAATCTTATCTGGGTCAGGAGAAGGAAAGAAGGAGAAAGAAGAAATACCTCGACAAAAGATACTGAACATGACTAGCTTTTCATTAAAATTGCCTCCTGGAAGAAAATGTAAATTATGGAAGGAACAAATGAAACTACATTTTTTATAATATAAAACCCTTATCTTCCATTGTAAAGTTTAGTGTGACATAAAAAAGGACTCTAAGGTGGTCTCCCACCAAAGTATCAATCAGATTTAGACCTGCTTACCTTTCTAAAGGTTACTCAATTCTGTGCTTTTATTTTAAACCCTAGCCCCAGGAAACTACATTAGGCTGGGATCATTCAACAATTACTTATTTCTTGAATTTATATGCTATCCATTTCTCCAGTAGGGCAAGTTAAATGATGCTGTCCTTTGAAATGATTTTCAGAATAATTGGTATACAGCTACTGCGAAAGCCCCATTACAAATTTACACATTTCATTAGTCCTTAATTGTATGCCAAAGTAAACAATGTCAACTAAACCATGCTAATCCCACGTATGTACAGCTTGCAATCAGGATGCCACTTCCAAATGAATATTCCAAGAGGGCAAAAACAATTTGAATACACTTAAGTTTAATAAATAATTGCCGTGGGTTGTCTGCTTTATTTTGTATTATCATCCCCGCAATTTTTAAGCAAAGTGCTTATTTCACCAGGACAGGTAAGGTGGAGGATCTTCTGCTGTCTAGCTCGACATTGGAAGTGTCTTCTTGGTACCAACTCTTGTGCTTTGGAACATTCTTCCTCCTGAACTTTGATAAGCTACTATCCATCTAGCTTTCTAGAAAGCCTTGAAAAGCTGGCTCTTATGTCAAGCATTGCGACAGAGCCTCATAAAGTTATTATTGATATATGTATGGGGTATTGTTTTGGTAGGAATTGGCAGTTTTTATGACTTTTCCTGTTTGTAAGCAGACCAAAGTTATGGTCCATAACAAGGATGTCTTTGTGGCTTTTAAATAAATAAAGTACACAAGTCCACATAATTTTTGATAGCTATCATTAATAAGAATCAATAAGGTGTTGAGATATATAAAACTTTCATATGGCATTGCCACCTATCCTTCCATTCTTCCCTCCAATACGACACATTTGTAATACTTGGTATTTGGCAGCAAATTTGACTATCAATAGAATAATTATACTTAACTTTTAAGTTATGTAATTTATTTAAAACATCCACAAATACCTCTCAATTTTTAAGAAATGGGGGAGGAGAGCACAGACAACAGTGCATAGGGAACAAATGCAGCATATAAATGAGCAGGAAGCAGGCAAAGATCACCTAAACCAAAAACAAGTTCTGCTTCAAATACTGTATGATTATACAGGATCCAAAACATTATGGTGTTTTCCAACTACTTGTCCTTCATTCCATTTTTCTGCCTGCATAATTTACCATTCAAGATTTTAGACTGTATAAAAGAAGGTTCACATTCACTGTTACCTGGAATATTAAACTGATAATATTCAGGGTCTTCTGATTCTTCTTTAACTGTTACCATCTCAAGTCCTGAAATAGAAACAATTAATATTTCCTTTACATGAGTAATAGGAATCTAAATCAATGCTCACCCTTTGCTGTTTCATATGCATCAAGAAAATCAACACATTCTGAGTTAACTGCCAATTAATATGTTAAAGCCCAAGTTATGTAACAAATTGATACTCAGCAATGTCAATATTATAAAATAGCTGATTATGTGCCATTGAAGTCAGTGCTGACTCTTAGCAACCACATAGATACTCTCCATGACCTGTCTCTAACTTGGTCTTCAAGTTTTCCAACAGTGCACTAATCACCATTATAATTCAATTCATCTACCTTGCCAGAAAATTGTATGTTTTTCTTCTTCTTGACAATTATCAGATCAAATCCCATCCAGCTTATCACTCCATTTCCAAAATCAACCAAAAACAAAATCTGTACATATTTATTTCAGTCCAAGTAAGAAGCATGGATAGAAACAATCTGTAAAATACCTACTTCACATTTGCCATATTTCTCCAGCAAGTGTTGCTGCAGATAAACCACATGTATCTAAGGATTGGATAATATAAATCACCAGTTATGAGTATCAAAAATTATACAGACCAATGAAACCTGAAGATTTTTCTAAGTTGAAACAATGAACAACAGCTAGTACTATAGTCCTTCCATATTGCAATGGGTAAGAATTATTAGTTACTGTATCAGATATTATAAAACATTTTTGTTCTTCACTAAATTTTCCTGTTACTGCATGTCTTATGAATGAATATTACCATTTAAATAATGTTTGTTGGCCTGTAGTGCAATAAAAGACTCCAAGATTTGAAAAGGAACTTATATTTTTATATTCTTATTTTTACATTCAAATGCTTTATTTTTACTAAAGCTTTTAAATTTTTAAGAAATTTACACCCAAAATAAAGATCCAAAAAGTGTGTACTATTTCTGAAAAGGTGTGTAGCCAGTCAATTACCCAATTCATAGTTGGAAAACAGACATTTGCATGGGGGCGGGTTAAAAAATCACATTTGCAAATAAGTATTTTAGCAATGGCCATAATTTTTATGGATGCGCTTACCTCAAATGACAGTGGCAACGAAATGCAGGAAACAGCCTCAATTTCCCATGTGTAAATATTTCTTATAATTATTATTAAAGGTTAGGACCAAGCCTTGTATTAAAGTAAATTCCTAGCAAAGAGGTATTTTCAAGATCCACTAATTACAATGTAAATCATGCACCCTGGCTACGCCATGAAGCTTATTAGTAGAAGTTTAGAAATGACTACAAAAAATTATTGGCTGCTTCATATTAAAAATGCATATATTTTTGAGAAACTCAAATAAAACATGTATATTAGGAAAATATATCTGGCAATACATTTGAGGGAGATATTGAAAAAAAGCTTCATGGAATTTTGATAGGACAGATACTTGAATTTCTTATGGACACAGATTAATGTCAATTCACACACTGCTATGAACAATATCCTTGTGTGTTCAAGGAATTAGTATTTTCAAAAGAAACAGAAATGCGTACCAGAATCTTCATTGGGCTCAGTCTTCACCTGAATGGAAGGGCAACTAGACAAACAGAGAATAGACAATTCTTGGTGAGTATTATATACCATATGAATTTATTTTGTCATTTGATTAAACTAAATGAGCACTCACTAGGCGAACTGGCTCTCCAGGATGCTGAAAGAAATATTCCTTCCAGACTTCCTATGCTTAGAAGGCTTTGAAAGGGCCTTAAAATAGCTACAGCAAACTTTTAGACAAGTGCATCTGTTGTGCAACTTGATCCAAATTCCTCATTAGATGATGAACGCCAGTTGTAGGTGTTCTGGCACTAAACTCAATCCCTAATTTTAAACCACAAAATTAAAATTAAGACAAATGCTGAATATTGTCACCTCACGCTTTGCCACTGGAAAAAATACTATTGAACTGTTTGTAGAGAACTTGTAGACAAAAAAGGGATAAAATGATTTATACCTTACACCTGGAGATGTCATCATGTGTGATGAATCTGAAAGATGGCCTGAAAAAAAATGAAAAAAGAATCTAATAACACACACACAAACAAACTGAATACAGTAGATATGAAAATGTAAAATAATAGTTGCAGAAAACTATTATTTTCCTCTGTTATATAATTGTATAGAACTTTTACAGTTCCATTTAGCATCAGTAACCCTTATGTTAAAAAATATCTGGATTATCCATTTTTATCTCTCTGTAAATTCATTCAGAACTTTTATTTTATTTTATATTTATCTATTTATTTATTTTGATTTGTCAATCGCTTACAAGATAAAAGGTATAAGTATATACATAGTTATGAATACATGAAATGGGTACATGTAAGAAAAATAAAAGAAACAATAGGACAGGGATGGTAGACATGTTGGTGCGCTTATGCACGCCCCCTACAGACCTCTTAGGAAAGGGGTGAGGTCAATAGTAGACAGTCTAAGGTTAAAGTTTTGGGGGTTTGGGGAAGAAACCACAAAGTCAGGTAGAGTATTCCAGACATTGACCACTCTGTTGCTGAAGTCGTATTTCCTGCAATCATTGGTGCGGTTAATCTTGAGTTTGTATCTATTGTGTGCTCTTGTGTTAAGGTTGAAGCTGAAGTATTCATTGACAGGTAAGTCATTGCAATGTATGATTTTATATACTATACTTAGATCAGACTGAAGATGGCGTAATTCAAGGTTTTCTAGGTCTAGAATTTCAAGTCTGGTGGCATAAGGTATTCTACAACAAGTAGAGGAGTGGAGAACTCTTCTTGTGAAATATTTCTGGACTTTCTCAACTGTGCTATCAGATATGTAATGTGGATTACAGACTGATGAGCTGTATTCGAGTATTGGTCTAGCAAATGTTCTGTATGCTCTAGTTAGTAGTGTGATATATTACCAGAGAAAAAGCTACATAGGATTAGGTTAACAACTCTTAATGCCTTTTTGGCTATGTAGTTAACAGTGGGCTCTAGCACTTAGATCATTAGAAATGAGTAGTCCTAGGTCCTTTACAGAGGTTGGATCATCAACAAGGTCTTGACTGTTCAGCTTGTATTTTATTTTCTGATATTTTTTTTGCCAATATGTAAGACAGAGCATTTATTTGTTGAGATTTGAAGTTGCCATTTGTTTGTCCATTCTGATACATAGTCAAGATTTTTTTGAAGGGTAGCAGTATTGTCTGTGGTATTGAACAGCTTTACATCATCAGCGAAGAGAACGCAGTTGCTCTTAATGTGATCACAGAGGTCATTTATGTAGAATATGAAGAGAGTTGGTCCTAGAACACTGCCTTGGGGGACACCACTATTGACAGGTACAGAATTTGATAGGACACTCCCAATTTTGACCATTTGTTGTCTGTTTGACAGGAATGCTTCTATCCAGTTTGTCAGGAGAATTTTGTAACTCCCCCCACATTCTAATGGTGTCATGGCAATGTTGTTCAAGGCTCTATAGCAGCAGTGGCTAACCTTTTTGGCACCAAGTGCTGAAATGGGAGTGCGCGCGTACATGTGCTGGAAACCAGAAGAGCAGCTCCCCGATGCGCACGCTCAGGAGCAGCAGAAACCAGAAGCTTAGCTTCCTGGCACACATATGCGTGCCGGCCACCTGGTCTTCCAGTTTCTAACGCATATGCATGTGCAAAGACCAGCTGGCCAGCATGTGCGTGTGCTTCGGGGAGCTGCTCTTCCTGTTTCCGGCGCTCCCGCACATGTGCAACCAGTTGATTGGCACGCATGTACACGCTGGAACCCAAAAAAAGCAACGGGAAACAGCTGTTATGCCTGAAGAGATGGATCTGCCACTTCCGACACATGTGGCATAGGTTCGCCATCCCGGCTCTTTGTCTTCCAAATTATCATTACTGACAATTCTGGTAGCATATATTTTTTCAATATAAATAAACAGCTGCAAAATCTTAAGAGATGTGTTGCAACATGTAGGAGATGTACAAAAAGCACCTTTTAAAATATGTCATTTGCAGGGTCCAGAGCTACTTCAAAAGTGATATATTCTTTATTGGCCAAGGGTGATTGGACACCCAAGGAATTTGTCTCCGGTGCATATATATAAATGTATATACAGATGTATATATAGATGGCATTGGGAATAAATTCAGGCATGAGATGTCTGGGGGATGGAGTAACCAACAAAATTATTCTGGCCCACAAAAGGCTGAAAAAATTAGAACTTTCAGTATTGTACACTTTTTTTCAGGTATCAACTTATGTTAAAAAAAAAACACTACAGAAATATAATTGGTACTGTATAGAAAATGATTTTTTTAAAATTTAGATCAAATCAAGACTTACCTAAATGTTTCTTTGGCTCAAGGAAAGGCCTACATAAAGAAAGAATAAATTCTATTATTCTACAAGATCTATTTATAAATATGATAATGGCGTTAAGAGGGTTCAGATCATGTCTTCAACATTTTCTCCATATTTCCTACAACTATCTATAATGTTACAAGGTCCATTTTGGACCATAAAAGGACGTTAAAGGAATGGTGGAAATAGTATCATAAACAAACATATCTGATTCACAGCTGAATGGTATCATTTCTCACAGTTTTAGAAAGGAAATTTCCATACTATTACAAATTAATTTAAAGCTTTATAAGAGGAATCTTGGCAATTCTTACTAAAATGTTCCTCTTTTCCAATGCCAGAACAATTGATTTCTTGGAAGTTTCTAATTGCTATTGAATTATCTGAAGAGAAAAAAATATGTATCTGTCTTCTTCATATAAGTATCCAATCTGTTCCCAAACTTGGTCTTTTGATATGTTCTTCCTGGTAAGGGTTGCTCTCCAGGAATCTGCATAGGTTTACATGGAAGTCTGTTTCTACATGGGAACTGCTGTCCTGCTAGAAAGTTAAATGGTTTTAATAACCCATATTTACACTTTATTATACAAAGTGATTTAAGAATATTTTGCTGCAAGCTCAAAGTATCTCAGAAAATGAAATTGTTTGTACCTTTTGATGACAAATGAAATCCCAGATTTGTTTTCCAAAATCCACTTCAGTGTTGTGGCATCATAGCTGGAAGGATGCTTAAAAGCAAGTCCTTCTGGAAGACCATGTACTATCAAAGCAGATGGATCCCTCTGAATCTTATCATATGGCACAGGAACTACTGTTGATTTTCCTAAAGCTTTACCTAGATAGGAAAAAATCAATTTGTACCAATGAGGCAACACTTCTATTCCTAAAACAACAAAACAATGGCAAACGTGTCTTTTTCTTTGATGAGTGAACTGGTTTTGAAATAAAAATCAGCCAATAATTCTGTCACCTCTTTCTCCTCCATCTTCGCTGAGTCTTCGCACTGCCCGAACTTTAGGTCGGTACTGTGGCTCAGCACCCCAGACAGCCCCCCTTCGGGTGTTGGTAACTATTTAGAGATTCGGGTTAATGTCAGGGTTCCAGAAAAACCCAACTCCAATTAAAAACTCAAGAGACAGGCATTTTCTCGAAGTTCCTTTTATTAGAGTAGGTATACTGACACATCTGGGAAAACCCAAATCTGAGAGTCCCTGGTTTTCCCTTAGTAATTCAAAAGTCCAAAACCAACCCCTGCACCCATAGGTCCAATCATCACCCACCCCAGCTAGAGACATCCCTTCAACCACTCCTCCTTCAGGTGCAGGAATAACATGACCTTGACTGAAGAGAAGAATGCTATTATGTCTAATTACCAATACTCTACAATTCCCCCCTCCTACTTTCCCAGCCACAGGAATGTGGCAGCGCTGACATGCCTTCTCTGTGGCATCTCCCACATTATGCAACTCTCTCCTCAAAGGTGCATATAGCTTCTATGTGATTAATAGTCCATAAACATTCCAAGGCTTTGTTATTTGTGAGCTCTTACCCTTAGTTATCCTTTGTGGAATTTATCCTCCATATTTGATTCTGTGGGGTTTAGTTATAAATTTGTAATTTCGTGAATGAGGCCGACGAAGATTGTAAGTCAATCAGTCAATCCTAAAAACAGGGTTTTTTAGGAGGGAATACCAGTTGGGGACATGGTGGCTCAGTGGCTAAGACACTGAGGTAGTCGATCAGAAGGTCGACAGTTCGGCGGTTCAAATCCCTAGCACCGCGTAACAGAGTCAGCTCCCTTACTTGTCCCAGCTTCTGCCAACCTAGCAGTTCGAATGCACAGAAAAATAGGGACCACTTTGGTGGGAAGGTGATCCGTGCACCTTTGGCGTTTAGTCATGCCAGCCACATGACCATGGAGCCGTCTTCAGACAGCACTGGGTCTTCAGCTTAGAAACACCACTCCCTAGAGCCGAAAACAACTAGCACATATGTGCGGGGGAACCTTTACCTTACTAGTTTAATCTGTGTGTAGACAGATTAGCACAGTTTCTCTGCAGGAACTCAGCATATGTGCATATATTACCTACATGTATGGCTCTAACCAAGGATACTGTGTAAGGTTTTGGGGAGGAAGTTTCTGATTTTTTCTCAAATTGCATCTTTGTGTTTTTATGAGTAGGTGGGAGATTTTGAATGGAGCAGTCAAATTCAGTTTTTTTCATCACATCAAATTTGGTCTTGTTCTTTTCATAGAGTTAACCTGCTGAAATCAAGGCAGAGACCGAGATTTTTTAATCTAAGTTCTTTCCAACATTGTGCTGATTTGGAAAGAATAAAAAGCATGCTCAAGAACTAATTCATTATGATATTAGTTACAATGAGGTTAACTTTAAGTACAATGTATATTTTATTTATATAGGAATTCTGTATAGTTCTTGAAAGGAATAAAGCAGGCTATATATACCTAGTTAATTAAGTCCAATCCCATGAAACAGACACACATTCATTATTGAATTAGAATTCAAATCATGCATTCTATCTTGATGGTTTAACTGCCTTCCTCAAATCAAAATCAACTGCATTTAAATCTAGAATGAGAAACATCACAGTCCTGCTTTGAAAAACAATTTGCATTTAAAATTAAATATCTACCATAGCAAATACAGAAATAATCCTCCACAGACTTCTTGAGAGCTTCCATTTCCACAATATCCACAGTCAACCTGTTATCAAGAGATGATGATTTTGTCTTCTGCAATTCTACAGCTTTTGCCTCTTCGTTAATACCTAGGAAGAAATTATGAAATCTGGCACTGTCCATAAACTACTAATTTAAATTACGAGTCTATCCATATATTAAGACCTTTTTCACATTTCTTGTGTTCACACCATCTTGCCACAATTATAGCAATAGCATTTAGACTTATACTGCTCCATAGTGCTTTATAGTCCTCTCTAGGTGGTTTACAGAGTCTTTTATCAACCTCAGAGGGATGGAAGGCTGAGTTAATCTTGAGCTGGTCATGATCGAACTCCTGGCAGAGATTGGACTGCCATTTATCAGAAATGGTATAGGGTCTCCCGCTTGGGCGGGAGGCTGGACTAGATGACCTACAAGGTCCCTTCCAACTCTGATTTTCTGTTAGCTGTTATCAGTGGGAATGCAGAGGTAGCCTGCAATATTGCATTCTAACCACTGGCACTACCATGGCTCTATAAAAATAAATCATATAAAATAAATTTTCTTACACAACCAGCATTGTTGAATTAGATTTCTAGGAATAACAGTTGTTTGGGAAAAAGGCATTATTTGGACACACTACTTGCATTATGGGTTTGATAACGCTTTGATGAACTTCTGTAAATTATTATTACATATGTAATGTATGACTAATTTTTAATATATAATTGTCAGAAGTTTTAGGGGGTTCATTTTTTATAGAAAATATGAGATACCAATATTCTGTTTCAGAAAATCTACGAACTGGACATTTTCCCAGTGTCCTTAATAATCCATAATCTAAGCATGTCAATTATTTCCTACCATTCCTCATTGGTCCTCTCAATACTGAGCACCATAGTTTGTGATTATATTGCACTACTTTCTGTTGGGGGGGAAGTATAATGCTATCAAATGCATAGTCTGTTCTCTTCTGCTACAGAAAATGGGCACAGAAGTTGCATGAAAGTTCTCAAAATAGCCCATCTTATTTATTTACACTATTACTAGACATAAAAGGAATGTTACATGAGCAAAAATATTGATGTGCAGATTCTAATGAACGGACTTTAAGTAAGTTAAGAAGTCTGTGAACTTCTCATTCAGACTTACAGTACTTCACAAAATCCTTCTGAAAATCTTTTCTCGTATTGACGAAGGCTCTTCCTCTCTCAGTGCCCACCACAAACACATCTGTTTCATACACAGCAATGCAGGCAACCTCTGCCTTAGACTTGGCAAGTTCTTTGCACTATGGAAATAAAAGGTCGCCATTTAGAACTGCAATAGCAAGACCTAAAAGAAAATGTATTATACTCTCTTTTAATAATTTTTTTCCTGGCATTGCTGTATTTTTTAAAACCACGGCTACAGCCTGTTCTGCAAAGAGAACTTTTTCACCAAAAAACCCTTGCACAAACTGAGACCTATGCAAACAACATGAAAGTGTTCCAGCAATAAAAGAATGTGACAACTTATCTACAGTATTGCTTAGGTGCTAGATCAGATTTACACAGTATTTCTCTTTATTTACTTTTACTGGTTTCTTAATATCAACAATATAGTAAAAGATAATAGAATTGCATAATTAATATTTATTTATTTACCATATTTATATGCCCACTCATCTCACAAAAATGTGACTCTGGGCAGCATATAACAGTGAAAAATAACCCGTTTTACTGAAATAATGTTATAGGCATTAACAATGACAGTTCTTAAACTGAAATTTGAAAATGAAATTTAGCCACTTCCAATTATGACGAATTGGAAATGCAATTAGAAATCCAAGTACAATTTCTAAGGGCTTTCATATAATCAATGGTGCAAACATTTTATAAAATTTGGGATCTATTCTATCAATGGTTAGACAATAAAATATAGTAATGGAATATGTAGACTTTTAGAAAATACTAAATATATAAAGATGTATTCTTTTCTTATTATATCTACAAAATGATTCTAGGATAGATTTGGGATGATAATATGAACTGTCATAAAACAAATTAAGTAAAATATGATTATTTCGTAAAGCATGAATGAATTAAAGTATAGTCAAATGATTGATTAATAATGATATTAATGTATTTAATAATTGATTGAAAATACGAGATTATATACAATGTAATTGTAATTGAAGACTACGAAATGGAAGCACAAAACAATTTGTAAACCAACCGGCACATTGTATGTATATATATGGAAGATGGCCTGATGTTTTTATGTTTTGTTCGTTTACGTTTGTTTTAAAAACCAATAAAAAAATTTTTTTTAAATGGTGCAGACTGATAATCTACAAACCAAATGAGGAGCCTAATCACCTGCCATTATCTCTAGCAAAGACACATGAGACACAATGGGAAACATTCTGGAAGAACCAAAGTCCTTTCCAAACTTTAGACTGGCCGTGTTTGACTACCACTGGTCACATGAAGGTCCTGATAAGAACTGATTGTTCATATTCACATGCCTATATTGGAAAAACAACATGACTCAAAGTAGAGGCACTAAGTAAGCCACACAAATTTTTTATTTTCACTGCCAAATTTGAGAGATTATGAATGGGACTAGTAAAAGCATGTAAGAAGCGACTATCATTCAAGATGTCAAGGATGAGAAGGGAAACATTTTTCTTTTGTTTCTTGTAGCTGAGAATTATTTACTTTCAAACCACATCCAGCTGGAATGAAAAAAGTTCTATACAGGAAAAACCAAATACTGTTGCTTTCTATATTGAGTCAAATGAGTAACTCTATTTTTCCTTCCACAGATAATCCTCAACTTACCACAATTGAGCCCAAAATTTCTGTTGTTAAGTGAGAAATTTCTTAAATGAATTTTGCCCCATTTTTCTTGCCCCATTTGTTAAATGAACACAATTGTTAAATTAGTAACACAGTTGTTAAGTGATTCTGGCTTTCCTATTGACTTTGCTTGTCGCGAAAGGGGATCTCATGACCCAGGGACACTGCAACTGCCATAAATATGAACCAGTTGTCAAGTATCTGAATGTAAATTACATGACCATGGGGTTGCTGCAATGATCATAATTGTGAAAAATGGTCATAAGTCACTTTTTTCAGTGCCATTATAACTTCGAACAGTCACTAAATGAATTGTTGTAAGTTGAGGACTACCTGTACTATACTCAGATGCAATGTTAGAAAACAATGGTCTATACTGTCAAATATTCCTAGTCTGGTTTGCAAATGAACTGATGATTAAAACGAAACAGACAAACATATATATACTGTAAAAGTCCTGGAGATATAAGCCATGTGGGAAAAGTCACAGTAGAGCGGATTCATATTGTATCTTACCATTGACTCAAGGGCTGACATGAGAAAGGTAACCACCATTCTGCTTTCAGATGAGTCCTCATCGTGGCTGGATGCTGCTGCTGCTATTGCTGCTTGAGCCATTTTTGCTACAGAGAAGAAAAAACTGTACTTGAGTCAAAATTTTACCTGAATAGAAGGAATTTACCCTCCTATAAGATAAAGAAAATCACACACACACAAATATGAGAACAATTAAAGCTCCCCCCTCCCCCCCATTTTATCGTCTTTTGTTGTTCTCCCATCTTCTTTTTCTATCTAAGACTATGGGTCTTTCTGAAGGAAAGCCTGGCTGAAAGCAACCATTGAACAGCCAGTGATTTTGTGGTCAAGAAAAAATCCACTAAGAAATTAGATTTGTTAGAAATTCATGTTACACTCATTCCTTATTTATCAACCAAGGTTCATTCCAAACATTAGGCCTTTAAAGCAAAATGGCAGCTAAGTGAATATCATGATAGCCTAGGCATGACCGCAACTGAGCTCACAACTTTTCTTCAGTGTTCCACGATCAATATTTTTTACACTTCATGAAACACTTTTAACATATCATACAGTCATTTCAATTCTTTCATTCTAACCATTTTTGCCATAAAAAATACACTGTAGTAATAATTACCTTTCAGTCTTTACACGTGATTATGACAATTTAAAAGTTGTATCTTTTAAACTTTGTTTTAATACTGTATGCATTATTTTTAACAAGAAGCCTAAATAAAAAACAACAAAGGTTAAATGGAAACTCAGTGTTTGAAAAGTTGGTTTATTATGTAAGTACAAAATTAGGCATAATAATTTACAATTATAGTATCAGCAAACATCAAATTATCCATAAATTATATTTTTCTTTGTTCTTGGAAAAATTAGATACACTGGTATAATGGCTGATGGCCGAGGATTGGGTCTTCTATACCTGTGGATGGGGAAAGTGATGGAAAGAAAAGTGAAGTTGAGGAACAGTAACTTTCTTAAAGAATCCATTAAGCTTGGTTGGTACTTTTTTTCTTTATATATGTCATGTTTACACTTTTGAGATTTCATACATTTCCCAATGTACCTTTCCAAAACATTGTAAACTTAGACCCATATCTTTCAAAAATCCTGGAGCACCGGGGAACTACCAGAGGACTGGAAAAGAGCTGATGTGGTTCCCATCTTCAAAAAAGGGGGGAAAAAAACAGACCCAGGAAACTATAGACCAATCAGCCTAACATCAATACCTGGGAAGATACTGGAAAAGATAATAAAAAAACAGATCTGCCAACATCTAGAAACAAATAAAGTAATAACTAGCAGTCAGCACGGGTTTGTTAAAAACAGATCATGCCAAACCAATCTTATTTCATTATTCAACACAGTGACTAAATTAGACCAGCAAAATACTGTGGACATAATATATTTAGACTCTTTGTGTATATAGGCCCACCCTGCCATTTTCTTCCAGTATAATTCAGTTTCACCCATATAGTACATCTGTCCAGGAAAATAATTCCCTATGTTATCATCAAGATTATCCAAAAAATATTTGACAGCTTCTTCATCAGTGCTTGCAGCTTTACCTCGTGTGAGAGTTGCGGTAATTAAAATCTTCACTGAAACCACATAAACCAACCATGGTTGGTGTTGAGGTATTCCCTGTTAGGAGGAGGAGTGCACTCAGGGAAACGTAGTGAGAGTGGTGTTGAATAACACACAACCAGCATACAGATACACTGAATAGTAAAATGTAGATTTTACTTCCAGTAAATGGATAAACCAAGTCCAACAAACAGTCCAAAATCATACAAGGTTAAAGCAGGTAGTATTCAATACAATCAGTCCAGGGATAATCCAAAAACGAAGTCCAGTATCATAAATAAAGTTCAGTAAACGGAGTTTGCTAACAGTTGCAAGACTCACAGCAATTTCAGCAGAACGACGATCAGACAAAAGGCAATAGGGAAATGCAAGAAGAGCAAACCAGGTTTCTGGCTCCATCTTATGGCTGTCGGAGGAACCTCAGCCAATCACAATTACAGCATTCTCTAAAGATACAACAGTATTAAATAACTATCCTGGTTTATATATTGCCAACCGAACTGTTAGGTGACTATCATTCCTAACAGCTGGCAATGAATGTTTTGGTGCACTCGCCTGCTCATTTCTGTGTGTTTTAGCCTGAAAAATAAGATGGTCAATCAGCATCCTCTTTTGTATCTGATCTTCGATCTAAAATATAATGAGTTTTTCTGTTTTGTGAATGAAGCCTTCTCATTGTTTTTATAACTTCTTTCATTCCTAGAGATTCTTTTATCATTTCTCTGATCCTTTTCTTATCTTTCAATAGTGGGGTGGTGAAATGGGCTATGCCTTCTTCTTGTGCTATAGTATTCACCTTCTTCCTGGAATCATAAGCTTTGATGATCTTCATCTTAAAATTGAAACGGATAGCTTTGTTTTGCTTCCTGCTATTTCCGTCAGTTGACCTGAGATTCTTTCTCTTTGAAGACATCTTGGTACAGAGTATAAATGTGCATAAACAAATAAATAAGCAAATCAAACACAAAGTAAGTTCGCTACTTTTAACAGGCCACCAAAACCAAGAATATAATGTTCACACTATGATTCAGCATCCTTGCTATATAGTTACATTGAAGTGTAGATTTAAAACACAAACAACCCATTCATGATTATTGCACTGTGGGCTGGGTTTTTGTTTTTTTTGAAGATTGTGATTACTGTATTGTCCTACTCCAGTAAAGACACACTCTTGACTTGGCATCAAGTCAAGTGGACTGTGTTGACGGCATCAACACTGTCCACCTTTTTCTGCAGAATGCTCGTATAGTGGATATTATTCCGTTTTTTACAAATACGTATCTAGTATTACTAAACCAATTCCCCATTCTTCCCTCTCTTTTTGTCCTCTCTTCTTTTGTTTTAGATAAGAGCCAATGTGGTATAGCAGTTAAGGTGTTAGACTAAGATTTGAGAGACCTATGCTCCATCAATCATAAAAATTCACTGGGTAACTTTGGACCAGTCACTCTCTCCGATCAGAGAACTGCTGCTCTGGGGATAAAATGAAAGGTCGTCTCCACATAAATCACCCTGAATGCTTGGAGAAAAGTTAGGGTATCATTCTAGTAAGTACAGATAGTCCTTGACTTATGTCTTAGTAGTAACTTAGTAACTGCTCAAAATTTCAACTGATGACCTGCATTCAATATTTTGACAGCCAGCCTTCAGAGTCACTATTTTGACCATCTTGCATTTATGGCCATTTGTGGCATCCCGTGGTCCCACGATCACAATTTATTACCGTATTTGCCGGCATATAAGACAAATTTTTTGCCCTGAAAAACATGCCTCCAAGTGGGGGGGTCGTCTTATACGCCGGCAAATACGGTATATCCACTGCCGGCTTTCGGATGCTTGTGGGACGCAGCGAAGGCGCCTCTGGCTTCCCGGATCCCCAGCGTCGCTTCCGCCAAGAGCCTCCCCACGTCTCTGAATCAGGTTCGAATCCCGCTCGCCTCGCTCCACCCAAGGCTGCAGCGACTGGGGGGAGCGAGAGCGTGGGTTGCTCCTGTCACCCCAGGCAGGGCCATGTGAAGGCTGCCTGCCTTCCTGCTCCTCCCATGGCCCCTGGCACTCCGCCCTGCCACTGCAGCCCCGGGGATTTCTGGAGGGCGTTTCCGGTGACCCCGCCGGGATCATTTGGCTGACCTAGCGGACGCGTTGCAAGAGGACTCTGTTGCGGGAAAGCCCGAGGGACTCCGCCGGGAAGGGCCAGGGTTCTGGAGTAACGCCTGCCTACTCCGAGACACGCTCCTTTAGACAGTCCATCTAAGAGAGTTCAAACATCCTTCACTCCCAACACAGAACATACACACTGTGTAAATATTGGATGATTAGTTACCGTATTTGCCGGCGTATAAGATGACTTTTTTGCCCTGAAAAACATGCCTCCAAGTGGGGGGTCGTCTTATATGCCCAGTCGTCTTATACGCCGGCAAATACGGTACTTTTTTTTTTTTTACTACCGTGTTTCTCATATAATAAGACCGGGTCTTATTTTTTTTTGAGCCCCGAAAAAATGGCTAGGCCATCTTTTCGGGGGGTGACTTAATTCTCCCCCCCCTTGCATCTTCGGGCGGGCAGGCAGCGATGGCTTGGATGTTGACCTCGGGTTGGTGGAGCACTTCGTATCAGGGTCAACGCAGGCAGCACCATATCCGGGTGTGCAACAAAAGTACTTCCTAATGGCAAGCCCCCCACCATTCCCCCCCATTTCGCATGTTTTAATATAGGCCTTAATTTGGGGGGGAGGGGCTTCATTTCATTTCATGTCTATAAAACATGCTGGGACTTCCTATTGGGGGAGGCCGTATTGTTGGAGAAACAGGGTAGAAACTGGTATTTACTTCAGGTTTCCAGCAAAAACCACCCATTGTGGACAATAGATTTGTTTAATGATCATAGATTTGCATAACAAACATGGTGATTTACTTAACAGCTGGTACCAAAAAAAATCATAAAATCGTATCGATCACATGATGGTCTGTTTAATTACTGGCATGATTTATGACTGTAATTTAGGCTCGATTACTGTCATAAGTCGAGGACTACCAGTAAACAAAATTAGTATTTGCACAATACTTTGGATTCAATTCAAAATACTTCAGAACATGAAGCAGGACAATGTAACACCTGTCTGTGATTCATTAATGCACTCATGTTATTTTCCTGGAAAAAATAAGAGTTGGTTTTAACAAGCTGCAGATAGGTACTGCATTACCACCCTGTTACATTCTAAATCACTCTTCCGGATTAAATCCAAAGTGCTATATACTCTTTGTTATCATGCTCAAAGCAGTAACATTGATGGTATTATCTATTTCTTTCTATAAGATTCTAAGATTCATAATCACGAAAGATTTTAAGACTGTACCAATAAAAAGCAGATTTGCCATCTTTCATCCACAAATGCACATCAATATATATTGATATCCCCATCCATATATCATTTTGAGAAATACTCCTTATAGGCTGTTGGTCTGAGCTCCAAGCTTGGTAATTTGGTTGCAAATGTTTCATCACCATTCGAGGAGACATCATCAGTGCACTTTGAATTGTGCTTGTCTGTCTGAGCACTGGACTTTAAATACCTTTTTATGTGATGCAAATTAGTGTGGATGTTGGTTGCAACACCCACACTAATTTGCATCACCTAAAAGGGTATTTAAAGGCTCACACAGCTCAGCACAATTCAAAGCAAGCACCATTCAAAGCAAGCACAATTCAAAGCGGACTGACCATATCTCTTGGAATGGTGACAAAACGTTTGCAATCAAATTGTCAAGCTTGGAGCTTAGACCAACAGCTTATAAGGAGTATTAACATTCTAAGCTATTAACATTCAAATACATTTCAAACACTCCTTATTTTCAAAAGCTAATAAAAGTTCAATTTGTATGTTCATACCTATTCTCTGCATTATAAGAATTCTGCACAAATAAAATGGAACCTGAAATAACAAAAAAGAGATGTATCTGAAAAGTGGTATTTTCTATACAAGGCAAGTTTGAACAGTATTGTTCTATGACTTTTCTAGATTGTGGGGAGGGGTTAGTTCTGGGTCCCCCAAAGTGATCAATATCAATTACCAAGGGTTGATGAAACTATCCAAGGAGTTGATAATATTATTCATAGTGCTTTTTGCTTAAGGCAGCATTTATGGAATTATTTTCATATAATATAGGTAACCCTCCACTTTCAACCACAATTGGAATCAGAATTTCAGTCATTAAGAAATGTAGTCATTAAACAAATCATTACAAGACTAGACCCAATTTTACTACCATTTCTATCAGAGTTGTTAAATGAATCTGGCTTCCCCAAATGAAGGCTTCCCTTTGTCATATACCAGTTGGGAAAATCATAAATCCCCATCACATGACCACAAGATTCTGCAAGACGCTAAATCAGGCTTGTCCAACCCGCGGCCCACGGGCCGCATGCGGCCCAGGTTGCCTCGTAATGCGGCCCAACGCCCACCCCAACCTTCATGAAAGATCCAGCGAGGAGGAGGAGGAGAGGCAGGCGCGAGGCGGGGCGAGGCGAGCAACAGAAAAGGCGGGCAGCCGCAGCCCAAAAGTCCCGCCCCACCACCTCCTGCTGTTGCCGCCGCCGCCGCTGCTGCATTTGCAGGAGAGGTAGGCGCGAGGCGGGGCGAGGCGAGCAACAGAAAAGGCGGGCAACCGCAGCCCAAAAGTCCCGCCCCGCCACCTCCTGCTGTTGCCGCCGCCGCCGCTTCTGCCCCCATCGCCGCTGCTGCTTCTGCCCCCGCCACCGCTGCCGCCGCTGCTGCATTTGCAGGAGGAGAGGTAGGCGTGAGGCGGGCGAGCTTTCTTCCCCCCCTCCCCCCCACCCCGCAAAATTTGGCCGGAAAATAAAAAATAAATAATTTGCAGGAGAGGTAGGCGCGAGGCGGGCGAGCTTTCTTCCCCCCCCTTCCCCCCCACCCCGCAAAATTTGGCTGGAAAATTATAAAATAAAAAATAAATAATTTTTAATTAATAATTAATAATTAATAATAATTTTATTTTATTTTATTATTTTATTAATTTAATTTAATTTAATTTAATTAATTATTTAATTTAATTATGTGCGGCCCAAGCCAAATTTTCATCTTCTGATGTGGCCCAGGGAAGGTGAAAGGTTGGACACCCCTGCGCTAAATGTAAGCCAGTTTCCAAGTACCCTAACTGTGCTCATATGTTTGTAGGGATGGTTGTAACTTCAAGGATGGATCATAAGTCACTTTTTCCAAAGTTGTCTTAACTTCAAACCATTTAACAAAGAGTCATTAGTCAAGGAGTAGCTGAAAATATTTGGAGTCAATAAACAATTTGAATACTGGTGAAATGAAAGTTTGGGGACCACTGGGCTAGGCAATGTAATTCGTAATGTGAAGTTTTATGAGCGCCAGACCATACAAATAGCCTAATAGTATATATTGCTGCAAAAATCAGAATCTTGTCATCCTGTTAGCCTAATACAAACGTTTGAAAACTAATTTGCCTCCCTATTTTATTGCATTTACTTCTTAATCTCATGCATTATTACTCAGATATCTTACTTAATTTAATTGTCTTTACTAACAAAACCTATGGCTAGGACTGCAGCCTCTAAATATAATGAATTTGTTTCTAAGTAAATATGCTTATGATTGCTCTTTTAATGCTAAGCATCTCTAACATTACATGAAAAATCTTTCCAATTGGGACAATTATAAATACAGTGAAATATATGCATACATAATTCTATTTCCCACTTTTGTGGTTTGATTTTAAATAATTGTACATACTGTATTTGAAGGCTTCAATATTGACAAAGGGTGTTTCAAAAACAGGCAACATGGGCATTTAGAGGAAAAAGACTTACTAAATAGTTCAGACATCATCAATACGAGGTAGAGTTTATGGTTTCAATGAGGATTACACAGCCCCATGTTCAAGTTCCTATTTGATTTAAGAATAGACAGGCTATTTGGGGGAGTGGGAATGGAGACCCAGAATGTGTGCTGCCTTGAGCTCTCAGAGGAAAAATGTGATATAAATGTAATCTAACAATACTAATTCACAATACTATGTATTAGGTCCAATAATAGCAGTCTATCCTCAATCCAAAACACTTAAGTAAACAGAAGGTAAAATCAGTCTTTCCCAAGCACTCAACTGAATAACGTAAAACATGCTCCTCTAAGAAAACTCTAAAAGAGAATTGAAGAATCTAATTAGAATCTCATGTAAGGACTTAGTAACTAATGCCCTTAGGACCTTGAAACTTCAGGCATATTTTTGCCAAGACTGGCACGAAAAGTAACATTATTAAGGCTAGAAATGTAATTTGCTCTACCACATTTGCATAGGGAGGGACCCCTATGAAGACTAATCCATTTAATCTCAATTAGCCTTTAAACATGTTTAAAGAACAATACTAAAATACATTTAAAATAAAAAGTGTTACATATTAAAGTGATTTTTTTAAAAATCAGGCAATTAAAATTTTAATGGTGCCTGAAAAATGTTAGGGTGAGTGACATATTAAAATATCTGTTAAAGTTCTTTCAGGTGACAATTTTTCACGTACCCTTTAAACATTCCTTTATTAAAATGGTGACATATTAAAATATCTGTTACAATTCTTCTGTGTGACAAATTTTCATGTACTTTTTAAACATTCCTTTATCAAAATACATGATGCAAATGCAACAAATAAAAACCCTATATAACAAAACATACGTATTTTTATTAGATGGAGATATGGGCAGCTCTCACCCTGATGGTATTCTAGAAGGCCTTAAAGATCTGTCTGTTCTACCAATGTCTCAGGGTAGGGTGGATGGAACCCCTTTGTTAGATATGTTTTTCACATGCTACATATGTTTGGATATTAGTCCGGATTGCCAACTTATTTTTATTAGTGCCTTTCTATTTATTTTGTTCTATTTGTGTTATTTTTATATTGTGAGCCACCCAAAGCTGTTTTGGATTTGGCCAGCACCGTATGTTGAATTAAATGCATAACATAAATAGAACACATAGTCTTGAATACACCTTTCCAAGACTATGAAAAATGTCTTATCTTTCATCCCAAGTAAAATAGCATTCAGTTGAAAAGTATGCAACATACCTTGGTGAAAAGAAACATATTTTGCATACCTCATTCAAGAATTTTGTGTGTGCATTCATGTCTGTTTGTGTGTGCCTTTGAATCAGTCTTTGACTGCCGAAGACTGCCTGGACCAGGGGTCTCCAACCGTGGCAACTTTAAGACTTGTGGACTTCAGGTCTCCAACCTTGGCAACTTTAAGACTTGTGGACTTCAACTCCCAGAATTCCTCAGCCAGCTTTAAAGTTGCCAAGGTTGGAGACCCCTGGCCTTGACTACTCACTGCAGTTTTCTTGGCAAGATTTTTCAGAAGTAGTTTGCCTCCTTCTAAGGGCTGCACAAATGAGTCGCCCAAGTCACCCAACTAGCTTTGTGCCTAAGGCAGAACTAAAACTCACAATCTTAGCCTGATAACTTAAGCACAATACTAAATTGGCTTTCAGCCCAAGGATTTGAGGCACACCAATATTTAAATAGAGTTTGTAGCATGAATAAATTTCTCAGGTTTAAAGGAAAAAGATAAAAAGCAAGATGTCCAGAAACTAAAAAGAATCCTGAGGATAAACAGAAAACCTCAAAACTTATCTGATCTTCTAATAGCAAAATCTATGCTCCATTCCAGAAGAACAGAAAACGATTTGGAATGCCCCTTCTCTGTTTGGATTTAGAGCACTGAAGCATTTAAATAACATGTATTAAAGTATCAAGGGCTACATCAAAGTAGTACAAAAAGAAAAAAATGAGAATAAAACCCAATTAGTCAAGTGCATTCTTCAGAAGAGTTTTTTCCTTAAAAAAAGAACCTGCTCTAATTAAGACTATATGTATTCCCTAACATCACAAAAATAAGTGTTTGTTCAAAGCATACTGCTTTAATTGATGTCAGATGGGTGGGAGGGGATCATGAGAAAATTCAAAGTTTTATCTTCAACCAGATAGGGAGGGGAAAGGGAGAAAAAGAAAGAGAAGAACCACGGATCAGAACAAAAACAAATTAGTACTGCTCATCCCTTGTACTTCTGGCAAGGTAAAAGTGGAAGATCAGTTGTGTTTAAAGTAAGTCATTTCCCATTAAAAGCATTAATTTGGAGAAGCACAAAGTCAAACACCACCAGCAGTAATACTCCTTTATCTGCAGAACTGAGGTTTGGAGAAAAATGAAAGGGAAATGAGGGAAGTGTGATTAGCTCTAAATTTTCAGCATGAAAAGATCAAGATCATACACAAGCAAGAAGCAGCAACTGGACTTCTGACGAGAAATGCAAAATGGTGCCAGCAGAAAACAGAAGTTACCATGGAAGCAGGAATGAAAATTTAGACAGTAAGACATTATGTATTTAGACATAAACTGACATAGATTGTGGTGGGGTAGCAAAGGTTTCATTCAGAGGCTTTTCCTAAATAAAGCAATAAAAGGAAAAGATATACAGGTAATCCTCAACTTACAACTACAATTGAGCCCAGAAGTTATATTGCTAAGTGAGAAATTTCTTAAGTGAGTTTTGCCACATTTTACACTTTTTCTTGCCACATTTGTTAAGTGAATTACTGCAGTTCTTAAATTAGTAACACAATTTAAGTGAATCTGGTTCACCATTGACTTTGCTTGACAGGTTGCAAAAGATGATCACATGACCCTGGGACACTGCAACCGTCAGAAATGTGAATCAGTTGTCAAGTATCCAAATGTAAATCATGTGATCATGGGAGTGCTGCAATGGTCATAAGTGTGAAAAATGATCATGTCACTTTTTTCAATGGCATTGCAACTTCGAACGGTCACTAAGTGAACTATTATAAGTCAAGGACTACCTGTACCATGATTCATTAAAACATTTGAGGACTGGAGGAATGCTGGGTGGAGAGGCCCATTCTGATATTATATAATTTCTAATCAAATGCACAGCCAAGGAGGAAAAAAGTTCCAAACACCATAAAAAGGAAAGAGAAACAAATTGGGAATAGGTTAAGGGCAACACAAAGCTATTTAGAGAATTGGGAATAATCTATGTGGAAAATGAAACTTATTTCTGAATGATTATTTATAGACTGTTATGTATATAATCAAGCAATGTCTACAGAACTATGCCTGTATTTATTTACATTAGCACTTTCTGCCAATAAGCTGACAATTTTTTAAAGAATTGACTTCTAGGAACTGAATAAAAGGAGAATCATGTTATTTATCTCTTTGCATTCTATATATATAGGGGGAAAAGCTTTCCATAGTAAGAAAAACAACGTAAAGGGAAGACAGTAGAAAAAAGAGAATATGGACAACTGAGAGGGGATATAAATTATTCCTATTTAATTATTTATTTGGTTTTCTGCTTTCTGAACTACACGACCAAAGAAGCTTATAAGAGCCCAGTTATAATTCATTCATATCCAAAATTGGTAATTTTTGTTTAAATACACTAAAACTCTTACATTTAAAAACCAAGTTGAATACAAAAATTGAATGGGTCACCTCTACTTTTGAGAAAGGAAACAAGATGGGAAACAGGCTTTCATTTGGCCACTAAATAAAATAAGTGCATGAAGAAGAGACACACATACACAGGGAAATAAATGTTGCAGATTTGTTCTTTTCCTCTTGTCTTGTGAAAAAAAAATATGTGGAAGACATTCATATTCAAATATTGTCTTTTCAGTCAGTTAAAAAAATAGTAAAGGACCACTAAACAACCATTCTGGTAAATGGTTAGCAATACCTCCCTATTTTATCTAAAATAAAAATGCTTCATTGGTCCTTTCTCAAAATAAGTCTAAGGTGGCTGAAGGCTTCTTTGGACAAGGGAAGAAGAGTTTGAAGAAAACTCATTTAAAATGTGTCCCCTTTTTCTCCTGTCTCTATGGCAAAAAGGCCAAGGTTTCAATGTTGCTGATGATAATAAAAATAGTATAATACTAAGAGAGAGCCCCTCACCCAAATTGGTCACAAAAATTCTGCTACAATAAGAAAAGTGGACAGGGAGATAAAAGGAATGAGAAAAAGCACTCTTTTCCACTTCACATCAAGATTTTTCTTCCCAAATGCTCAAGATACATCTCTTTTCCCATATAGAAAGAGTTCAGTCTAGTGGTTAAGGCATCAGGCTAGAAACCAGGAGATTGTTGAGTTCTAGTCCCACCTTAGCCATGAAAGCTGACTGCGTAAACATTGGGCCACTCACTCTCTCTCAGCCAAACTCACTTCACAGGATTGTTGTGGGGAAAATAGAAGGAGAGAGTACTGTGTATATATGCTGCCTTGAGTTATTTATAAACATAATAGAGGTGGAATATAAATAAAAATAAATAAATAAGTTTACCCCTTATTAACAGGAACTTAGAATTTTTCCAGGACCTGTTCTTCAGAGGATCCTTTGTTGATTTTCCAGAGGGAACCTCAATAGTTACAATAGTCCTAATTGTGCTTGCTTGCTTCCAATAAGATAGCTACACTTTGATGCAAATGCAATATTATCAATTACAATCACTGGGCCATTGGGGGAGCTCTTCCCTCAATTTTTCTGACAGTTTACCTTAACTCCTTTCCAAAGGGACAGTTTCTGAATAAAGCATATTAATTATCAGCACTAATACAAATAATTTATCTTTACCTCTATCCCCAACTTTTCAGAAAGAAAAGCTTACTGCTACTGTTTGAAATCCTTGCATGTTTTATGCTATTTTTTCCAGAAAGGACAGGAGTTGAAACTTTTATGCTTAAATGTTTTCAAAACATTCCCCTTCCTGAACAACAAGCAGCAACAATGGGGAAAAAAAGTTAATTTAATTAATTTACTTAATCCCCGCTCTTTAGGCAGAAAGATTCTTAAGAGTAGCTGACAGGATTAAAAGGCATATAATAAAAAAAATTCATAATCCGGTTTTTATAAAGTCGTAACTGAGAAGGAAAATCGTATAAAAAACATTATATGCTCTACCATAATAATATCCCAGACTTTGAAAATGAATCTGCTCAATGGAAAATATAGCTAGTAAGAAGTATGAGGGAAACATTAAGTCTGTAATATTTTTTTTAACGCGCTTACTATCTTTTTAGTGGAAAAAAGGAGAAATGGATTACATTTCTGAGAAGGAATTTACCATTCCGCACTCTCTCAAAAGCGATCAAATGAAAATGGGAGAAGGGTTGAGAGGGCCAACAAAACACCGACAGTCACCGCGGTGGGGAGTCATGAAAATCCTCAGATCGCCTCTTTTTTAAGCAAAGAAAAATCGGCATGAAAAGCAGCAAGGACGACACTCGTTTCCCAAGAAGGGGCTTTGGGGGGGGGGGGGGGGGGGGAAAGGAAGGAGTAATAGTTTAAAATAAAATTTAAAAAGTGGGGCAAACCTTTCCACACTGAAACGGGCAGAAGTGTGAGAGGGACAAGAAGGGGGAACGATAATGAGGATGATAGCGGATCATTAGCAGAAATGAATTAAAATGAATTGCCCCCCCCCCC